CTTATTCCACACCCCCCGTTTATTATTTTTTTCCAGCTTGCCCCGACCGATGGTCATATGAAACATTATATATAGAATCTAGATATCTGAATAAAACTTCTTTATTTTTTTGTAGATGGCAAATTACCATCAGTATTAGTACCGGCCAGGTTGGATATCTCAATTTTCTGTGCATTTTTAAAACTTGTACATTGGTGTATATTTGAAAAAAAATGAAACTGGTTTGTAAAATTTGTTCGTAATTGGGAAAAGATGTCACAGTAACTTACTAAAATTTCATGATCTCTTGACCTTTTATTCACTGAAGGAAAAATAACACAGATTTGTTCCTACTAGTACAGGGGTATGAGGATGAATGTGTCCCCCCCCCCTTTTTATCCCCCCCCCCCCCCCTTTTACTATTTTGGATGGACCACTTGTCCAACCCCCGTTTATTAATTGTGGACCACTTGTGTGTAAATACCCGTATACCTTGAACAGAAGTCAAGACATTTGTATTTGAAGGAGGTGAGGTTGCTTGGTTTCAGTGGTGAAATTATCCAGAATATGACCGTCACAGTTTGGTAACTCCAATAGCTAAAGAGTCCTTGAAAACTGAAAAATGACGTATATATTTTTCAGTAAAATTCACCTGGAAATGTGTTTTTATATATGGAAATAAGAGGGGTAGAGCAAAAAAATTAAAATTTTATAAAAGTTTCGTAACTTTTGGGAAAATGCCTGTTTCTCCGATTTCTGTATTTTGATGAGCGCCTGATTTCACCACGCTGCCTCTCATATGTTTGGCGTAATGATATGAATGTCTCAACAACCTGGAGCCAACAGACTTGAGATCTTTTCTATCATATGAGTACCGTTGAAATATGATTATTCTTTCTTTTTACTAAGATGCCATTATTGTGATGCTGTTTTCCCTTCATCGGGTTACGTAAAACTTGAAGGGAGAGCCCCCAACTTTTGTCTCTTAATAGAATTTCCTCTGTAAAAATATTCTTACATTTCGCTCAGACAAATTTTGTGATTCCACTTGACAGTGTCTGACTCAGCAAATACCAAGACAGGCTTCTAAATGAAGAATTTGTAAGTTCGCTGTGTCCGTTACCAAAGTACTCCTATGAGAGCCATTGTTAACAGGGTCTGTCATGTGGAAGTTAGGCACTCCACCATCACATGCACAATACCTGAATTTGATTTCAGAATGGTAAGAATTTTTATGAGTACCTCTATCGTAATCTGCTTGAACATGATTGTATCCCTCTCAGCGTGGGTTGGATCTGACAGACAGGGTTGATGCCCACATTGTCTGAATTGTACAGATTAGAGTATACGGCACCAACACTTTTTTTTAAAAAGGTCCATTTTTCTCTCGCATACAAAAGCTAACACAATACAATTAAATACACTTCACTGGAAAAGTCATCATAATGATCATCAAAACTTACTTCATCAAGTTCTCGATTGTCTGTTCTTTCATCTTGATATCTGACCAAATGAAAAAAATAAGCACAGGATACTTTAAACCTGAAATACACTCCCAGATGAAAACGCTTTCCAAATAAATATTTTGCATTGTACTAAAAACAATAATTATCCTTCTTGCTTGTTAATAAATTTAAGCTAAAAGTAAAAGACAGGGACAATTGTACATTTCAACTTTAAGACAGAAATAAAATCAGCTGCATAAATAAAAGATAAAAGAAACCTGTGCTCTGTTTGTTTCACATGAGGGTACATCATTTAATGCATATGTGAGGCAGCGTGGTGGAATCAGGCTCTCGTCAAAAAAATGAAACAGAGGAAAACAGCAGTTTTCTCCCTGCTTAGCAATTTTTATCAAATTTTTGTTTTTTGGCTCAACTCCTTTTATGACCATTTACAAACACATTCCCATGAGGATTTCATCGAAAACGCTTATTAAAGGCACAAAAATATAAATTTAGTTTCCATGGACTCTCCAGCTTTGGAATTTACAAAGCTTTGGCAGCTATTTTCTCCCTAATTTCTCCTCTTAAACCAGGTGACCCCCACCTCCTTCAATCCAAAATATCTCCACTTCTATTGAAGATGGGTGGGTAATTTTTTCATAAAAAGCAAGACAAATGAACAAGCTTTAAGATGATACCAATAACTCAATATGCCCAAAAATTGACGAGAGCTGATTCCACCACGCTGCATCATATATGTCTATATTTGAAGACGACTTTTTAAAAAATAATTTGATTAACAATTAATTATCATAAACAAGAGAATGACCCCTACTGATTTAACCAGGTGAAAAAAAATGTCACAAACTCCATGCCCACATCTTTCTCCATATAACTGATAGATGGAAAGAGCTGGTTTGTATATATATAAAAAGGTGGTGATACATTGAATGAAAAATAACAAACAGGTGGATCGCATTGAATAAAACCAAAAGACAAATAAGATTTAGTTTAGTTTAGTAAGAGTTTTTCTGCATTCGCAACTGCATTAGGTCAACGTAAGATTTGAGGTACGTACATGAAAACAGTGTTTACAAAAAGTAAAGTATTAAAAAACCCACTTAAAAAAAAAAAAAATAAAAAAATAAATAACACATACCGAGCAAACACAAAGTGTGCATGCCTCTCTCTCTGTTGACAAGGATTTTATCGTAAAAACTCTCTGGCTGCCAATCTTCAGTCCAGAATACAATGGAAACTGTCTCACCATAGTTGTACAGCTGAAACAAAAGGGAAAACAACATAATGGTAAAAATGCTACAGTCGACTATGGATGAGTAGATGTCGTCAGGGGAGTAAAAAAAACTGATCAACTCATCCGAAGTCAAATTTAACTTTTGAGAACTGTAAATAGAATAAAAAGAGGCGCTGGGACCCGAGAAAAAGATCAACTTAACTGAAGATCAACTCAAGCGAAGTCGGCTGTACTACACACAGTAAAACATTTTCCTACATTTTCAGCGGTTGTGATAAAAATTTCACTAGCCACAACCAATACAACTTTTGGAAGAAGATTATGTTTTAAAAAGCATCTGTTAAAATACAGTAAAGCTATTTTCTCCAGGTATAACCAGCACTCAGCTGCAACATACAGTCTTCTATACCCTGAGCCTCACCATCCCCATTTTCAGGTATAGGTCATATGCAGCTTAGCAAAGTAACAGGAACATTTTGTGGTCTGAAGACGAGATGCTATACTGAGGTGAACTGTTAAAAAAAAAAGCACCACAGTCTGGTAAATAAAGTCATTTCCCCCCAAAACATTACAAATAACAAATCAAGCTCATTCCTCATTCAAGACAACATATTTATATCAACACATGTGTTCCATCATCAAAAAGTTACAGAACATTGACATCAAGTGAAAAGCTAAAAAAATTTTTTTTTTTTAAAGGAAACTTCTGAAAAACCAGTATTAAACTGGGGTATTAATATAAGTTTAAGCATCAATCTGCAATAAGGAGGTTCTTTATCTGCAATAAAAACATTGGCAACCTAAAGGGCACAGACACATAAATAATCTCTTGAATAAACACAAAGAGACCATGCAAAGTATTGAGAGTGATTTAAATACAGTTGAACCAACTTTAATGGCCACCTTTAAATGACAGTACAAACAGCCACTTCCCATTCCCTCTCTTTCGCATATTTTTCACACTTTAATGACGTTGTGTAAGACGGTCACCTGTCTCAGACAGCCACTTTTTCTCTGAACAATGTGTGGCCCCTTTAGACAGTTTCATTTGTGATTTGATTTGCTTGGCAAGATACAGAGAGTAATATACAACACTGTATTTTCTCTGCAAAACTCAGCACAACAATTTCTTACTTGCAGTCCACAACATCCAATAGCATTCATGATGGAAGCATTGTGGATGACAAAGTATGGGATATTCTTCTCTACAGCACGAAGGATCAGGTCTGTGTGGGTAGTTGCTCTGCAAAAATGGTAAAAGTCATAATTTTAATAGTATTCCTAATTTATTTTCATTTCAATCACAGAACTTAAAAACGGTGTGAGCATCATAATAAGACTACAACAACATGTACTGGATACCAATTCCCTGGCTGGTCCTTTGCTTGAATGAAGTCTAATTCTTAAAGTTAGGTACTAATATTCCGGTGTCACAATAAGGGCATCCCTTATAGCAGACTTCATTCATCATTTCCTCATAATAGACCAGGGGAGATTTACCCTGTAAAAGCAAGAAAACACATATCTATATGTGTACATATGGTACTGCAGTAAATTCAATTACTAACATTTAAGAAACAAAGCAGCATCTTTACTTTACCAGTCAGAAGAGAGAGGGGAAGAAGAGGAAAGCAGAGAGAGAGGGGAAGAAGAGGAAAGCAGAGAGAGAGAGGAGTGAGAGTGAGTGAGTGATTGTGAGAGAGAAAGAGAGAGAGAGAGAGAAAGAGAGAGAGAGAGAGAGAGAGAGAGTGAGAGAGAGAGTTTTAAATCTGAGGAGGTTCCATCATGCTTCTTATCATCAAAGTTAATTACAAATGAAACAGCATATTAAACAAGCACAAAGGTAAAAGGAACAAGAAGAAAGTGCACACAACATAGATGGCTGGTGCCTCTATAAATAAATAATTGATGGTCAAGGTCAAGGACAACAGTACAAAACTCACCCTAAAGGGTCTCCAACAACAAGGAACGATATGTCCTCAGTATCAGCCCCTTCCATGAGCTCATCTGAAGGATTCATAAAAGATAACAATTTAAACACTTTGTTATAACACACAAAGACTAATTTGGTTTATAGATTACGTTCATTTTTTTACAAATAAAAAAAAACAACAACAACCATAAAAAAACCAAGAGTGCTATGTTCAAATATAATCACAAGAAGTTTGCTCAACAGATTAATATAACAAAACAAAAAAAAAAGGCTTTCCACCCCTTTGAGTATTACGTTTCATTGAACCTGTTATACGCCTTCACAGCTAACAGTGAGTATTAAAAAGTTCATAAAACTGTTTTTAAAATGCTTAAGTGTATAAGTATTAGATCTTCTTCTTTCATCGTTCTGAAAAGGTACTCACCGGAGGCCTGCTCCACCATATCCCGGTCTGCCAGTATTACTTCTCTGCCATAGAATGACTCCTGCAAAATAACAGATTATAATATTTTCAATAGATGTACTAACATTGTTGCTTGATGCTAGGTGTAAACGAACCATGGTTTATCAGCTATTTGAAGATATCACTCTCTCTTATTTTCATTCACGTTATAGGTAATAACCCAAGAATCAAACTGACCATGATGCCTATCTATAAGCTATTTATAACTTTATGCACAGGCAGACGAAAAGGATTGGTCAGGAACTCCATCAGACTAAAATGGTTAAAAGACTGAAATTTTTGTAAGTAAGACAAAACAAAAGTACTCACTGTAATCTTAATCCTCACTCTTACCTCGCAATTATTATTGAAAACGAAAATCTAAAAGTCATAGATCTCTTCACAAGGAGGCTCCACTATAAACAGTAAACGGGCACTTGATCAAAAGGTAAATACAGTATAACACGGATAGCTCGAATTCGTCGGTAGTTCGAGGGATGTCTTACAAAGATAAAGAGGAAAATAATAATAATAATAAATAATAGATAGCATTTGTATAGCTCATATCCCCGCTCAGCAGCAGGCTCTATGCGCTTTACACTATATTATTACCCCAGCAGACCATAGAACACTCAGAAACATTCTCAGCTTCCCGGGAAGCATACAGTGCGAGCAGCCGATTAAGCGCTCAAACACTAACAAACTGACAAGATCTTTCGCTGTCTATAGCCGGGTACCCATTCCCACCTGGGTGAAGTGAGGAAAATTCGTGTAAAGTGCCTTTCCCAAGGACACAACGTCGGGCCCTTGACGGGATTCGAACCCACGACCTTACGGTTGCGAGTCCGAAAGCCTAACCACTAGGCCACCGACGCCACAAAAAACAAACAAACCGGGACCGTAGGCACAGTTCGAAGGATGCGTGACTTCGAGTCTGCTGTGTTCGACCTATCCGTGTTAAACTGTAAAAACCTTCCATGACTGAGTAAAATATCAAAGTTTGGAGCATTTGAAATCTAATCAACAAGACAAAGATGATAAGAGTATCAAGAATTCATTCTGAGCATACTGCTGTGTGACAGTGAGACTCCGACAGTGCACTCACCTCAGGTTTGATCGGAGTTGTACACTACTACTATTAATTTAATTATTAATTTGTGACGCGTCATAGTGAAATCAGGTGCTCGTCAAAGTAGTGAAATCTAAGAAATCTGCATTTTTTTGGCTGATGGGCAATTTTTTTCTTATTTTCTTTTTTTGGTCATCACCTTTTATGTCCTTTTAAAAACACATTTCTATGTTTCTATGTGGATTTACTTAAAAACATTGATTAAAGGCATAAAACAATGTAAATTTATAGTTTCCTATGACTTTCAGGCAATGGAAGTTAACAAACTTTGGCTGCCATTTTCTCGCAAATTTTACCTCTGAAACCAGATGACCCTGACCTTCTTCAATCACAAATAATTTGACTACTGTTCAACATGGATAATTTTTTAAGATGATACCAATTTCCCAATAAGCCCCAAAATTGACGAGCGCCTGATTCCACTATGTCGAGACACATTTTATAATACAGTCCGTGTCAGCTTTAAGCACGCTGGCATAACACCCATCTTGGACTCAAGCACGCAAAACGGCTCTTACCAAATTTTTGCTACTATATAAATTACACGCCTATAAGCACGGTAACTTCGGCTTCGGGCACGCTTCATTTATAAGACAGTCAATACTTTCATGATGACCCATCGAAGTTTGAACGCAGTCTACACCGCAGCAGTGAGTGTGTTAAGAGAAGCACAAAGAACGCAAGTGATAGACACACACACGCGGAGAGGAAGGCAGAGGGATGTACATACAGCCACGCTCGTGGACATAGGATCTAGCCTAGGGCAAAGCTACACCACAGACGAAATAAATACAAAGAGAGTTGGGGAGACGAGAAAGGGAGGTTGGTTGCGATTTCACCTTTGCTCCTTGCTATCCATTAATACTGATTATGTATCACATGCGAGGTGGGATATGAAGTATGAAGGCGGTAGTATGAATGTGTCACAGCGGGCAGTGGTACACAAAGGCAGTGTGTAGGCCTAGTGTGCTGTATTGTGACTGGCTGTCTCAATTAAGTTTTCATTTCCCATTTGACCAAAAAACAAAACAAACAAACTAAAAAAACTACCACGGCGGGTAAAAATTACAGTGCACACTTTTGCAGGACCACTATAGACCTACTTACAAACAAAGGGAAATAGCACAGGAAACTTTCTACATGAAAATCTTTGGAGTATGTCTACTTCACACTCAAGCACGCTTCGGCATTAAGCACGCTCAAGCTTTCTTCCGATGACCCTGCTTAAAGCCGGCATAGACTGTATAGTTTTATGCAATCTCCGGTTTTGGCCGGACTCATGCCAGGAGTACTGGAGTATTGATATTGACTTTACTTTAAAACTCGATATCAATGTTTTATCCGAAAGAGAGCGAGAGATGCGCTGTCTGCAGCGCTTTCGCCGCAAATCAGGCAATCGAAATAATTACGGGCCGAACCCGGACTGGGGACGCAGGAAGTGGAAGTGGAAGAGCTGAAGGCAACGCCGTCTGCTATTTTTCAGTACAAAATGAGCAGTATTAGTAATATTTCATTAACAACAAAGAGAGGTTTTCATGGGTCTCAACTCAGAATTCTAAAAAAGGAGGAACTTTCCGGGTGATCGCCACAGAAGCCCATTTTCGCGAAACACCCATTATTATTATATTATTATACTGTTGAACTCTAGAATGCTGAAATAAAAACCATCAATTTATCAAAGCAATGTTATTTCACACCAATTTGAGGGTTTGGGAGATAATTTCAAGTAAGAGTCACGTACCAAATATTTACATTCTTGATTACGTACAGAAAATGGTGGCGCCAGGGGTCTTGTGCGACTTATTTACATTTTCCCTTCATCATATATTTGCCTGTATATATAAACTATATAAAAATGAATCTTGTTTTGAGCCTAGAACCAGAATATCGACTATGATGATTCATATATATATATATATATAGGCCTATATAATAAAAACGTGAAAGATAAAAATTAATGCTCAAACTCAAAGTAGAGTACAATAGCCCAAGTAGACCTATTCAGTGTGAGAGGTGTAAGAACTGTGGGAGGGCAAGATGCAGCTGCAGTGATACTGAAAATCAGCGAATCTTGAACAGAAAGCTAAAATATAGAGATATCTAATTTACTGTCACCAATCCAATGACACGCGAATAGTAAGTTCCATAACACGCTTACAAGTTATATGAAGGTTCCCGATTTCACACAAGGCCTGCACCAACGCACAATTTACTTTGCAGACAGCTGTGAAGTAGATCTAGATCTAGTAATCAAAATTTTATACATAAAACATTTATTTACAGTTTCAGTTTTTTTGTCCTCTGGTATTGCGTCCAGCCCTCCCCCTATCCCCGAGTGTGTCTTTAGCGGACTATATTATTGAGACCCATGAGGGGTTTCAGGCCTACTGGCCCAGACACAAGTGCAAGACTTAGTAGACTCTAGGACTAGATCTAGATTCTTGTTAGTACAGCTCTAGATTTAAATTTAGATTAGATCTAGATCTAGATCTTAAGAATCCTATCTACTGTCTTCTTTAATAATAACAGACACCTTCTTACCAAGGCTTCTTTGCCGACGGTTAGGATTGAAGTGTACGCTTCAAGGTATACCCGTTTGGAACTTTTAACAACTTCCAAGCCTTTAACGGTGATATCTTTAGCATCACCTAGTCCTATTCCAATAAGATAGAACATCTTATCTTATCTAGCCGAAAGAAACAGTTTACAACAGCTGAAGACAGACTGTGCTGTGTACAGTGTACAGCGAGGAAGTCAGACCGGAAGTTGTAACACGAAAGTAAAAGTAGCCTGCATTACATAGGCCTAATCAGAAAAGAAGTACTTCCTGTCGAAATCCGTCGAATTCTATCAACGATTTATCCATTGGCTGTCTATTTATATCAACACCAATCACAATTCATGTGTCAAAGACGTAATAAAATGACACAGCTAAGTTGCTTGCTGTAGTGGAGTTAAAGTGGAGTAAGTGTATACACAGTAGGCTACTCGACAGTAAAGTGAAGTGTGGAATTAAAAACAGTTTGGGATAGCGGAATTTCCAAGTTTGTTGTTCACAATGTACAGTTTCAATGGAGATTTCCGACAAAAACCGATACAGTCTTTGAGAGGAGCGAGTAAGAATGTAAGTTTTAGTTCCGACTTGTGCGACACGCTTGCTTGTTGTTTGTTGTGTCTGTTGACATTTTGATTTCAGGATTTTGGATCCTTCACTTTTTTCCAAATTATGAATGTCCTGGACGGTATTCGGGTTCATTGTGAACCGTTTATTTTTTAGACAACTATTCTAGATCTAAGTCTAGATCTAGATCTACATTTCCAGGTGTTGATCATGGTCCTTTTTTTGTACTTATTTTCCATGTGGGATTCTCTGGCCAGTCTCTTCTACTCTTCTGAGCCAGTCTTGGGAAGGCATGCCTTTTGCTCTCCAGTAGTTCTCGACTACCTTAGGAATACATGATTTTCATTAATTTCTCTCAATGAAGAATCTCAGACCTGTGGTAGGTCTTTACTCACCGGAGTTTTCTACTCGACTGGCCGTGTAGGACAGTCGTGTCAGGCTGTCAGGTGGTGTTTTTCGTGTGATCAATTCGCAAGTCCGTGCAAAGTGCTGTGTTGTGAGTTCATTGAGTGTTCGGAGAGTCACTACATGGCCCCCCTCCAGCGCTGACATGACAGGAGGTTCTAGAACCGGGGAGGTGGTCTCACGATACGTCCTGAACGTGAGACCTTCCAGCATGCTTGTTGTGGTTCCTGTAGAGTAACAGGAGCGGATTGTACAGCTTGTTGGGTCGACAGGGTTGAATTGTTAGTATTTTTGCACTTGGATTAACAAGCGATGAAGACGGAGGTCGCCCACGTCTTGGTGCCTGAGCAACGCGTACTGGTTGCGACAGATCCACTAAAGCTGGTTTGAGTCGGTCGACGGAGATGTGTTCCGTGTGACCACTTAGATCGACAAGAAAGGTTTTGTCATGCCTTTCTGAAACCTTGTACGGACCAGTATACGGGCGCTGTAGGGGTTTTTGGTGAGCGTCGCAGCGGATGAAGACGAACTTGGCTGTGTCTAGTGACGAGGGGATGTTGGAGGTAGGTACACAGTGCAGTGATGTCGCCTTGGCTAGTTGTGACTGCATATTTGGGATCGTAAGTTGGCGAGGCTGTGTGACTGGTCGAATGGTGAAGTGTCACTGATAAAAAATTTGCCCGGTACTCTGAGTGGTTCTCCATAAACTAGCTCAGCGACAGAAGTTCCCAGGTCCTCTTTTGGGGCAGTCCTCAAACTGAGCAGTACCCATCCCAGTTCATCGAGCCAGTTCGTGCTTTGGAGTCTTGCTTTGAGAGTAGGCTCACTCTTAAGGGACCGGTGGAATCGCTCTATCAGTCTATTGGATTGAGGGTGATAGGCTGTTGTATGATGAAGATTGGTACCAAGGCGCTCGGCCATCTCTCTCCACAAGGCAGAAGTAAACTGAGGGCCTCTGTCGGATGTGATGTGGATGGGGATGCCAAAACGGGCGGTCCAGTGATTGATTAGCGCACGGCCACATTCTGTTGTTGATGTGTCCTTGAGTGGGACAGCCTCTGGCCATCGTGACGTTCTGTCGATGATTGTGAAGAGGTGAGTGAAGCCCTGTGATGGGGGTAAAGGACCTACAAAATCGACATGAACGTGACTGAACCTCTTTTCGGGCACTGAAATCTTCTCGATGGGTGCCTTAGTATGCTTTTGTACTTTAGAAGCTTGGCAGTCCGTACATTTCTTGACCCACTTGCTGACTTCTTTCCTTACCCCATGCCAAACAAATCTCTGGGATATCAGGCGGACTGTAGCCTTCCTTCCTGGGTGGGAGAGGCTATGAAACAAATCGAAGACCTGTAGACGAAATGCTGGAGGTACAATTGGTCTAGGATGTCAGGTCGAAATGTCACACCGCAGTTCTGGTCCTCCAGATTCGATAGCCATTGAAACTGCGCAATCCTGGGAAAGAAGCGCTGTCGTCTAGAGAAAGATGTCAGTGCATTGGGCTTCAGCCATTGCTTTGTAGTCCAGTCCTATTGTGGTCTGGAAAATGGCTCGGGACAAACAGTCTGCAACATGGTTCTCCTTCCCTGAAATGTGCCGTATGTCCGTGGTAAATTCTGAGATGAATGTCAGGTGACGTTGCTGGCGAGCTGACCAGGGTGGGGATAACTTGGACATAGCGTCCACCAGAGGTTTATGATCGATGAATGCTGTGAGGCACCTACCCTCAAGCAAAAATCGGAAGTGACGGACTGCAAGATAGAGTCCTAATAACTCCCGATCATATGTGCTGTACCGTTGTTCTGGCTCTCGAAGTTGTCTGCTGAAAAATGCTGAAGGTTGCCAGGCCTCATCGACATATTGTTCGAAGACAGAGCTAACTGCGTGATCTGACGCGTCGGTGGTTAAGGCAATGGGAACGTTTGTTCTGGGATGCGAGAGGAGAGTGCAGTCGGCAAGCATGCGTTTGCTGACCTGGAAGGCTGTAGTCATCTGTTCCGTCCAGCAAAGTTTTGTTTTTTTCTTTTCTCCCTTCAGAGCTTCGTAGAGAGGGCGTAGTATTACTGAGGCAGCTCGAGGCAGAAAAAAGCGATGGTAGAAGTTAAGCATTCCCAGAAATTCTTGGAGTGCTTTGTAGGTGGTTGGCCTCGGGAATTCTTCTATAACTTTGACTTTAGAAGGGAGTGGGGTAGATCCATCTCGTGTGACTCGATGGCCTAGAAATTCGATTTCGGTCACTCCAAACACACATTTTTCTAACCTAACAACTAGGCCCGCTTCTTCGAGTCTTTTGCAAACTTGCCATAGGAGATCTTTAATGTGTTGAGCTGCTGATGAGCTGGCAATGAGTATATCATCCAGATAGATGAATGCGCACGAAATGTCCTGCAGTACGGAATCCATAAGACGCTGGAATGCCTGTGCGGCGTTTCTAAGGCCGAATGGCATGCGTAGAAATTCGTATAGGGCCGAATGGTGTAATGACAGCAGTTTTCGGAATGTCCTGCGCAACTGGGATTTGGTGGTAACCTCGAACGAGGTTGATTTTGGAGAAAATGCTTTTGCCAGCGAGTCATGCTGAGAAGTCTTGAATGTGGGGAATTGGATAACGATCTGGGGTCGTTCTATTGTTGAGTCCACGGTAGTTGCCACAAGGTCGCCAGTCTCCATTACCTTTCGGAGCCATGTGAAGAGGTGAAGACCAGGGACTGCTAGATCGTCTAATAATTCCCATTTCCTCCATTTTCGGGAATTCAGCTTTGGCGATGGGTAGTTTGTCGGGGGGTAGTCGACGTGCTTAGGCATGTACGGGTGGACCAGTGGTGGAGATGAAATGGGAAACACCGTGCTTCACTTCGGAGGCTGAAAAGGTTGGCTCGAGGATTTCAGGAAACTCTGTTAATATCTTCCTAAATTTGTTGCTTTCTGGGTCCATGATGGCTAGCTGAGAATCTGAAATCTAACTGATAGTACATGGCAGGTATACTTTGAAAGATTGAGCCGCTATCAGTTTCTGACCACGAATGTCTACCAGTAGGTTGTGGCGACAAAGAAAGTCAGCACCAAGTAGGGCCCGCTTTACATCGCCGATGACAAGCCTGGCGTCGAAAGCATTGTTTTGGAAACGAATGGTGGTGTTGAGCGCTCCATATATATTGATTGTGCTACCATTTGCAGCTAAAAGTGGAGAGCCTGAAGTGTTCGCCTGTTTGTCCCGCCATGTAGCAGGAAGAACCAAAACTTGGGCTCCCGTATCGATGATGTAACGGCGGCCAGAGACATAGTCCATGGTAATCAATTGAGCTTTTTGTGGGCCAACAGAAGGTTCTGAAGCCAGACTGAATTCTGCTGGCCGACCTACTCGTTTCCCTGAACTGCAGATGCTTTTTTGGAGGCTTTGTAACTGCATGGGGGAACTCATTTTTTGGCGTTTGATCCGAATCTGTGGTGTTAAAAGCATACACCTGTCGAGTTGCAAGGTCTGGGCTTGCTAGCAGCCGTTGTGCTATCTACGGCCAGTAGTGTCACGGGTGGAGCAACGGCAAGGAATAATTTGTCGGCCTCTTGTGCTAACGTGCGGCAGTCGAGATGGTAGAATGTTGCCAGGGGGGCTCTCACGTATTCAGGCTACTGTTGTAGGAATAAGTGTCTGAAAAGGAAGCACGGTTCGTGCGCTCCCAGTAGGCCTAACATGGAGTCCATTGGCTCTGATGGCTTACGGTCTCCTAACCCCTGTAGATTAATATTGAAAGTGCCTGAGTTGCTGTGCTGTTGTCGAGGGCGGCGACAACATGGTAGTATCTAGTTTCGTCTTGGGTAATATTTCGCAAAGCGAATTGCGCTTCAGTTTGGGCGAACCAAGACCAAGCTTCCGGCCCGGCTGTCCAAAATGTTGGTAGTTTAATAGAAACTGCACTTACTTGACGATCCTTTTCGCATATTTTGAAGGGATGATAAGGGTTGTGACGAAAATGCAAGTCTGCTCAAATATGATTCAAAATATAATCCAAAACAGAACACACAAAGTCGAAATTGCGTTTCAATGTCGGGGTCACCAATGTGGTAGGTCTTTACTCACCGGAGTTTTCTACTCGACTGGCCGTGGCCGTGTAGGACAGTCGTGTCAGGTGGTGTTTTTCGTGTGAGCACTTCGCAAGTCCGTGCAAAGTCATGATCATGTCAGCTGCTGTGTTGTGAGTTAACTGAGTGTTCGGAGAGTCACTACAGGCCGGTACTAAAAATTTGTCAGGGGGGCAGTCCCCCCTGAACCCCCCCACCCGTTCTCGAGAAATGATACGAGTGGTCCGGTATTTTTCAGTCGACGATTTTGTAGTTTCGTTCGTTAAAGTCAAGAGTAGGGGGGTTTCAGGGGGGCTCGCCCCTCTGACTTAATAAAAATATGGAGGTGGGGGGAATTTTATCCTAATTTGATTTTTTTGCAGTTAGGTTGCATCCCTACTCTTTGTGTAGCCTTATTTCAAATAGAATCTAGATCTAGTATTTGGTCATCAAGACTTCTGGATTTCTTCTCTGGATGTAAACAAATGGATCGTGGACTTTAACGAACGGAGCTACAAGATCACCCTTCAATCTTCCCATCTAGATCTACTACTAGACTCTATCTCTAAATTTAAATATCTCCGAACGTTCTGGAAAATAAAGCTGAACTCTATTTCTCCGAATGGTGTCCGATCTCTAGATTTTTTGGGTTATTTGCGAGATTTAGGCGTCATCCTTTCATTCTGCCATTCTGAGAGGACTGGGAAGAAGCATTATTTGCATCAAATTCAATTTCTAGAGCTAGAGATTTTTAAATGTCTGAATATTCAGATACTTCAGTTGTGGTTGGGGCAACGTTCCCGACTATACTTCATTTGAACATACCTTCAAAAGGTACAGCGAGAAAACAAGACTGCTTGACCTTGGCAGTAACCTATTTTGCATTTAGTCACCAAGCAAAAACTAAATACTCTTCATGTAAAAAAAAAAAAATCCCTCCCCACTCCATTCGCTTATAATCAACAAATCTCGAGGACGGAAACTGTTTGGAAAAATAGAGTTCCACTTTATTTTCCCGAACGTTCGGAGAAATAGAGCCGGCTTTTTTCTTTATGTCCCTGTTTAAGATGTTGTACTTTTCCAAGCTTTTCTTGTCTCTTCCATTAGTTTTAATTTAATATGTCCTGGGTCATCCATTTTTTATTAGCTTTTTTAGCTTTTGGGGGAATATTTTCTTCCACAGCTTCCATTATTGAGTCTTTCTTTGTGCTCCATAGTTCTTCCGATTAAGTCATGTTTTCCAAAGCTTGAAATTTATTGCTTACATCTATGGAGAAACGTTCTTTCGGTTCTTGGTTTGTCTTTAAAAGACCTATGTCAAATAGGTAGGGAATATACTGGATAATAATGGACACGGTACACTCCTGGAAATAATTTTTTAAGCCAGCTTGGCAGTGACCTAAGTGATTTGTCTTACTCTTACTAAAACTTTTTAAGCTATAGAAATGTATGTTTTTTTGTTTATTTAGTTGCTTAAATATGTGGTCGATGAATTAGGTATAGTTATTTTTGTGTGTATATATGTGTGTTTTACCCAGTCAAAGTGTTTTTTTGATTATTTGAAATGACAATTTTTTTTTTTTCAGGAACAAAAAGAGACACTCCTGAGAAGAGCACAGGAAGAAAGACTTAAAAGAGAGGCAAGTGATAAAGAGATCATACTCCTTTATTTAGAATATTTTTTTTTTACCCTTTCACAGAAAGTTGTTTTGTCTAAATTATTTTGAAAAAAAGTATGTTGCCTCAGTATTACAGTAGTATAGAATAGACCTTTTAGTGTGGGTTACTGACGTGAAAATATATTTCCACATTAAGATTTGAGAGGAAAAGAAGTAGAAGACCGTTTACTGTGCTAATGACAGACCCAGTTATGTTTTTTTAATTGTGATGAGTGAAAATATGTGTACTGACTAAATGTTTCTATTTCCAGGATGCTCGTCGAAGGGTGGCCAGTGCAACTAAGATACAGTCTTACTACAGAGGATTTTATAACAGGAAAATTTTGGTAATTGATTAGGATTCCGCAAGCAAAGCTTTAATATTTCACGTACTTTAGATTCATATTGTATATATTAGAATACATTACTTGATTTTGCTTTTTACGGTATCATTTTTCATATTCGTCACATTGTTTGAGTCATGTTAAATTATGCATGAAATGAATAGATTCACTGTATTGCTGCTTTTAGAACCAATGTTGTTGTACAGCATACTGTAATTGTTTCTTTTGACTTTTGTGCTTAGTTGCAATATTCTTGTGAAAATTTGATATATGTCATACTTTATGAATACAAAAATGTTGCTGCCCTACTTTGACAGTAGTGGTGGTTTTTTTCCGGGTGTGGGGTTTGCTTCTTCGTCCTTTTTATTGATTATTCTGACATATTATTGTGCTGGTGAACAATTTGTGCCTTTCTTGCTGTAATCATCTGTCAAACGATACCCACAATATCAACCTCTTTAAATGTTTGGCGGGATTTTTCAACATCAGTGTGAGAACAAGTTAAAGCTTGTGGACGTTTGACTTTCAAACATGATCTGTGCCCTTATTTTCCCAATTTCAGTCTTTGAAAAGTTGGCGGGTCTGCTCATGTACAAAAATTTTGCTCGGCAAACTTAGTATTGGTTTCCCACAATACTAGTGTGTTCATTATTCTATTGTTGAAATTTCTATCTTCTAATCCACCCTCAGAGGGCCCAGCTGCGTTCTGAGTTTGATCGTAGGACTCAGTCGGACAAGACCCTGACTGACCCGCTGAATCTGCAGTGGTGCATCTCAAAGCTCTGTTTGTTCTTCAATGAACATTTGGATGGTCAGAGACTGGTAAGAAACTACATTTGTGCTTGCTGCTGTTGTATTGCCCACGCACATTTCTATATTGAGGCCTCTTTCTTCATAACTGAGCTGTTTTATGATGTGCTGAGAATGTTGGACTAATTTCTAGTAGTAAATGGTGGCTTTTAAGGACAAGCGGGCTAAACCAAATTTCGGGGGTTTCCAGAAATCTTGACCTACACCAAAAGTGGGTATTGCCCTACCAATAGAAAAAGTTTGGTTCATTGATGTGTATATTTGTTTGGCTATGGGGAAATTCTCTGTCTTTTAAAGAAACTGAACAAGGGGCAAAGACTTTACCTTTGATTTTCCCAGAACAGCATTTTTCCGGATAGCCCTCTTGTGCTTAAAAGCGACAAAATATAAGTGTCTGAATTATTTTAGTTTTTCAGTATTTAATTGCGTTGTCTTTTGTGATGGATTTGAGTATGGATAACATCAGGGTGTGGATAATTAGTGGAAATACAGCTGTACGGATATTCCAGGCAGGCTGATGTCTGTTTTGTCGTCAGTGTTGCTCTCTCACAGATCTGTATAAAGTATATGAAGACCATTATTTAGTTCGTCTGTGCTCCCAAATGTCTTGGGCTGCATACAAAAAAAAATAAAGGTTGGTAGCAGTCTCCAAGAAAATTTTGACCATTATGAGAACTGCTCTTGACTGGTCAGGTTTATTTTCTTTCTACGGGTTGATGAGTTTGTCATATGTTGAGATGTATTATATAATGCAGTCAGTTTACCTTTGTGGCTGCATACTCTTTTGTGTCTCATGTTGTAGTACATTGATGTTGACTGAATTATGCCGTTTGATTTTAAAAGTCATGTCAGAGATGAAAGTGACACACATTTTTGTCCCTTTACTTCACAGATCACAACATGTCAGGTGGTTATCAAGCAAAGAGAGGAGTACCTGGCAAGCCTTCGGTCAGACATGTCTTGTTTGCTGACTCAGATGCGCTCGCTCTTGCGGGTCATAGTTCAGTAAGATTTCCTGATATATGGGGCAGCGTGGTGAAATCAGGCGCTCGTCAAAATAAAATGAAATCCAAGAAATCAGCCTTTTCTAGCCCATTTGGAGATCTTTTTCGAATTTTTGTTTTTTGGTTCAACACTTTTTATATCTATTGAAAAACACATATCTGTGAAGATTTAGGTGAAAAAAGGTTGAGAAAGGCACAAAAAAATATTATTTATTTGTTTCTAAAGTCTCTCAAACTATGTAAAACACCAGGCTTTGGCAGCCATTTTCTCGCTTATTTTACCTCCGAAATCAGGCGCCCCCCCCCCCACCTCTTTCAATTGCAAATATCTTGACATCTATTGAAGATAGATGGGTATTTTCTTTTATCACAAGCAAGACAAATGAACATGCTTTATAATGGTACTAATAACTCCATATATTAAAAGATTGACAAGCGCCCGATTCCACCGCGTTGCAACACATAAACTTTTGCCTATTGGGAGATTTTGCTTATTTGTTTTATAGTTAAAAAAAAAAGAAGAAATTTAAGTGAAATTCTTAAAACCAAAGAGTTTGGATCTGTGTGAGCTTTTTGCTGTTCACTGAAACACAGTGTTGAACTCATTGAAGACGCAAGTTTTTCACCAAGAATTTCCCTGGAAACCCACGATTCTTACCTATTTTCAAAAAATCACTCTGATAAACCTACTTACTGTACATGTATAGAATTTGACACAAAGTTAAATCATCATGTATACTTACATAAAATGTATTTATTTTTACAAAATTATGTTTTCTGTGAAAAAAAAAATTATATCTAAACGTGGAACAAAAACTTTTTTTTTTAGCTAAGCACATGGATCTCAGAATTGATTGTAGTCAATTAGAATAGTTTCGAACAAGTAATACAAAGTGATATTATCAATAAGAATAGTGACATTGACAGGAGCATTGTTGTCTCCTGAATCAATATTCCCCATCGCTTCGTTGGTAGTGAAAGGAGCATAATGTAGCTCCCTTTTCTTGTTTATGTAAAAAGTAGGTCAGGTCAGCGTGATTCAGCAGATTGCTTATAGCAGACAATTCGGATGACCAATTGTCAAAGGGATACAACCACAATAAATTTAAATGGTTTAACTGACTCCGCGAGTCTTTCCCCTTAAGATTCAATTAGTTTTTAGTTTTTTTTAAAAAGGGTGCAATTTGTGGGTCCCGGGACCCGGCGCGTCTTCAGCGTTTGTTGACCTCGTCGGGTCGCGGGACCCGACACGGGGTCAATGAGTTAAGTTGTCTGCTGCCATTTGAAAATTCTGACTAATGTTGAATTCATGTGAACTTTTCAAATTTTATGTCTTGTCCATATTTCGTAAATTTTGGTTATTTCATACTTTTGTTTTTTCATTTGTTTGTGTTCAGGTATTTGAACAGTATTGCAGACACGAATGCCCCAATTGCCATCCCAATGCGGATGCTGGAGATCTTTCTGGCCCCTGCCACTTACAATGTTTTCAGTGGAAATGACAAGGTTGCGGATCAGAAAATAGCCTCAAATCTCTTGCAAACCCTTATCAATAGAGGTTAGTAAAGGAGCTGGACTGGCAGTCTTATTTTCTGTGTATATGTGTATAAGTACTTCTTGTATTATTTTGTGTGCATTTGTTGCCTCATTTTGTTCCTTTGTTCCAAAATGTTCTTTTGATTAGTTGTCTACATCATTGTGTGTTTGGTATGTTTACAGTTAGATTTTGCTAATGTGTTGGCCTGATTCTAAGATGTTTTGAGAACATCTATTTGTCTGCTCAGGGCTTAGTTAGTGTGGTTTTCTCCCTTTAATAGGCAGAATAGGCTTCATTGTTCTGTTATGTGAGTGTAGGGCTGTTGCATAACTGTAGAGGAAAGTGTTAAGCGCTGAATTGGTCCTCCTTCAATGTCAAGTGATCACTGCATCTTTGATTTTAAGGCCAGTCTTCATTTTCCCTCTCCTTTTGCTAATATCTGTTTCTGTCTGTTCTCGCTCTCTTGAGTTCATGAATATTGAGTCTAGGTTCCTCTATGCTGGCATTTTAGTACCTCAGGAGATCGCTTTCTTGTAACAAATATGTCCTCGTCTCTACAGTGTGCATTGCTGAAAGCCTAAAAGTGGGAACTTGTGTTCTTCCACTGCCTCTATAGCTAATCTTATCTTACATTTTGTTTCAATACGCCTTCTAAAGCTTATCAAAGTTAATATTTTCTGATGTGTTCTGTGCTTAAGTTAATGAAAACTGGCTTTAAAGGAAATGTTCAACCTTGGAAATAAAACTTTTGAAAATCAGTTTTATGTGAATGAGGAGAGTTTACCTTTTTCATATTTATTGCAGGGTATTTTGGCTGTCTGAGGAAGCTTTTGAATTTTCGTGTTCCTGCCAGTTTGGAAAAGACATCAGTGCCACCTACCCCTGTTGCTGAGTCCATTTTTGACCTGATAATGAGCCCAGTTAGCTTTGCAGTTGCGTCTTCTGATAAATACTTTCGGTAAGTGCCTTGAAACAGACTTGCAGACTGACCGGATTTTTCAGGGACTCAGGGTGACTGCTAGGCCCTGGGAATTACCTGAGAATTTGAAACAAAATCGCAGAGACCCAGGAATGCCCTGAGAATTTTACGGTAATTTGTAAATTGCCTCATGAAAGACCCATGAAAATATGTAGTTCTTGAATATTTGGAAAAAAAAATCCGATTGAGTCAGTAAGTTCATTTTCCTGGTCGCCATTGTGATATTCGTTCAGCTTTTCTCTGTCGGAGAGCACATTTCGCACGAACAGGCGGCAGGGGGGAGTGTATGTGTGACACCGAGACTCGTTCAAGAAAATCTAGATTTACTTTCGCTTTCGTTACACCTCCCAGAAATTTCCTTACGATGGTCTGATAACGCAACTTTGTTACCTCCTGGTTGTGCAGTATAGTATAAGTACTGTGTTGTCATGCGAATAAAAAGTCAATATTCATCACTGTTGTGTCACTTGCGAAAAAAAGAAAAGATAATACGGGCATTGTCCGATTTTTAGATTGTCGGGCTTGCCATTGTGACCGGTCATTGAACCTGTGCGTGTTCACATCACAAACATTTTGTGAGTGTCAGCGGTTGTTGGGGTCAATAAAGTTCAGGGTGTCCAGCTAGGTTGTAAAGTCGTTAAAAAGTTGTAAATTCAGGGCCCTGGTCATGAAGGTCGTTGGACAGTCTTTTCACATACCGCACACCAAAATCAGTCCCACTTGATGTGATTATGTTTGTTCTTTTCTGTAATCTCATGTAATAACTTTTGTATCCCTAATGGGTTTTGCAAAAGTTTTGAAAACCATAGTTGTTGAGGATGAAATTGTTTGAAATGTTGGGTTTGAGTTTTGTGCTTAAATGGAAGAAAAAGGTCATGTTAGATGGCTCTAGTCAGAGACACTGGATAAAGGAAAAAGCCAAAAATACCCCTTGTGGCATCGTGTGCAGTATGTTGATATTGTTTCTCTGTAAGTTAAGGAAACTCTGACATTGAGAATTGTTTGATTTATTTTTAAAAAATTATTTCCTGGTAGATAAGACACAATTAAAAATTGATGACGGAAGAAAACTAAATCCTTTTTTAATGTAAGAGCAAAATCCGACTATTGGAGATTTTTCAGCCCATAGCCATAGTACAACTATTTTTGACGTCTATGATGAATTTCTTCTTACAGAGCATATGGTCTTTGCCTTTCTGAAGCCATATGCCATTTATGATGTTTTATTCAAACATGTTTATGCAGACATTTGTCTTTGTGGGGTCAAGAGATAGACCACCAAGGTTGAACCTTTCCTGTAAAGCTAATTTTCATTCTCATAAGCATAGAACACATCAGAAAAAAACAACTTTGATAAGCTTTTGAAGGTGTATTAATGAAACAAAAAGGCAAGTAAATTGTTTGGATGACGATATTTTTCCAGGCAAGACGTCCTGCTCAAGGTCACCAAGACGTTTTTGTGTGAGCGTTACTCGGACCAGATTGCTCTGTTTCTGCTTCCGGCAATGGCCTATGGGAAGTATCCGTTCCCTTTTGTGGAGCTCATCCAAACTTTGATCCAGGGAACAACTCCTGCAGGCAGCTCTGCTGGCAGTCCACCACAAGCGTCGGCAGAACTGGGAGGGAGTGTGAGTGATGGAGACTCCCCGTGGCTACTGGCTTCTGTCCTTATGCTGGCGAATAAAGAACTGGGTAAGAGAGTTGCTGTGGTGTTGTCTCTCATAGCTGGCACTTTTCCGTTAAATAGAAGAAACTCCACTACCTCCGCTTCATCTAGCTTTTCCCGCTACTTTCCTCCTTTCACTGCTGGACCACTCTCGGTAGCAAATTTAGGTACTTTTTTTTTTACACACGGAAAACACAGATCGGAGAGTGAGATGAAAACGTGGCTTGCGCTTGCCAGCCCTTAGCTTCCTACTTCCGTTCAGTGCCTAGCGCTAAGTTTCATATTGTTTATTGTGGGGCGACAGTGTCAACTGTCGATCGAGCAATGGGACGATGGCAAGCCGAATTGCCATTGAAAACTGCGGACATTCGAGAGAAAAAATTGATACAGAATGCTAGAAATAAATAGATCTGGATTGAGGAAGAAGCAGATGGTGTGCGACTTCAAAAGTTTATTAGAAAATTGAACAAGCCGGGTGCTGCACTTTGCGTTTGGTGCGATAAAGAAATCTCGTACCGTCGCAAATGTGTTGCCTTCTTAAGGGGGCTCGTGGGCAGTGTCTTGGGCCTCTGGGAGTGATTTTCACTCATGTTTAACCTTGTTTTTCTCAAAACACACTTTTTCACCAGTTTTTGCTTGCATACGCCGATTTTTTTTCCACCATTTTTAAAATTTACTTACAGAGAGACTTGAAAATTGGCATGTAGTTAAAGATATGGTTTGTACTTGTAGTGGGCTTGTTAGTTTTTTACGTTTTGTTTTTGAATATTTTTTACAGATTTTTTTCATGCCGAAATTTTTTTTAAAAGATCAAATTCCATATTCCCAAAGTACAGAACGATTTTTGATTACTTTCTAAGTATAGTATCAAAAATCAAAATAGCCAGCTGCAAGTACCTATTATTTGTGACATTTTGCAAGTTGCACAATTTTTAAAAGTTAAAAACTAGAAATGGTGGAGAAAAAAATTTCTATCCAATTTTCATGATGGCTGCTGTTTCCATGGCAACGGCTTACGTAATCGAGTGTGTCAACAGTTGAACCTGAATATTTTGTCTCGTACTTACTGCCTGTGACAAAATTTGTTTCAGTTTGTCTTTAGTTAAAAATGTTGTCCGGTAAATATTGAGCCCCCTTAATCCAATACTGCTCTACATCGTTGCACAAGTCGAAAGTGAAAGGAATCTTTTTATGAGACACTTGCTGGCAACAAACAGTGGGTTTTTTGTCACCAAACTGGTGAAATGCTTGTTAGTGTCTTGGTTATTATTCAAATTCATTTTATTACAGTAATGTTAACAAATATGACACTTTTCTTTTCCAACAACATAGATGTTCATAGTTATTGCGTCTGGATCTCACTGGTGTTACTCCGGCCTTCGGAGAGTGCGCGCTCGCCTTTGCGTAATTTTCCTCCTTTTTTGAAATTCCTGAGTGGCAGCTATGGTCTCTGTACAAAATGTTCTTTTGGTCTTGAAGTAATAGTTTTCCTTTTTCTTTGCTCATGGTGTTCTTGTGCTTTTGAAGTAATCATTTTACTGTGAAATTGTCGCCACTGACTGAAGTTGTCTTTAAACCATTCCCAAAGTGGTGATATTAACATGTTCTTATCAGACCGAAGGGCTAGAACCCAAATGGCCGCTGAATCGGAAAAGTAACATGTTCTTATACACAGGAACAACATAGGGGGAACTGCTGCTTTCTCTTTCCTCATCCTTTTCAAGCATAGGGCTGCATTTGTGTTACATGTGTCAATTTGAAGACAGACATGCGTTTCTGTTATGAGTGTCTATTTAGGGAGGGCACAGAGTTTTTTAAGAGAGCCCATTAGGGTCACACTACTCTGGTTAATTTTATCATCGCTGCCTCAATTATGTGATGATTTATTTTTTGGCGGGTGCTCTGGTGTGGTTTGCTCCTTCTTTAGTGTCAAACATCTATTTTCCTTATTTCTCCTAATTCTTTTTAGGTGCTCTCTTGTAGCACCTCTAATCTTTGGCACTTATATGAACTAATTGTGTTGCAAGTGCTATCAAACTCCTACTAAAAACAAAAATATTATTTATGTACTCCCTGTGGCTTTTGTGTGTTTTGCTCAAAGCTATTTCACTTTAAGATGTGTGGGGTATGGGAAAAGTTTCACTCATTGTTTTCCCAAATAGGATGTTGTCATGTTTAAAGGTTTAAAGGATGTTTTTTCATCTTGTACCTTCAAGTGTCCAATCAAGTGACTTCAAGTGGGTGGTTGGCGAGTGCTCTGGTGTGGTTTGCTTCTTTTTTTCTATCAAACATCTGCTGTCCTGATCTCTCCTGCTTTTTTGTGTTTGTTACTCTCTTGTAACATCTCAAATCTTCGGCACTTATATGACCTTATTATTGTGTTGCAAGTGCCGTAAAACTTTTACTAAAACTAAAACACCTTCAGATAACATGCTGATGTGGCCTCATAAAAATTGTGTTCCCCAGACAACCTGGATGTGAAAACGTGTGCTCTGTACCTGAGACTGTTACAGAGATTACTTCTTCAGCTGCCCCCTGCCAAGAACTCTTTTCTCTCTGGCTCCAAAGACACGTCAGACTCTGAAGATGATCTTGAGGAAGATATGGTATGGATATTTGTTTATTTTGTAATATTTTTAACCTGTGAATGGCTTTATGTTATAGTTTTATCTGGGTGTGTGTAGGCGATGGGAATTGTCTTTCCAATTTTTTTTCATTTTGTATCCTTGATAAAAATTACAAACTATGTATTTTTGAAAAATTTATACTCATTTCTTGGCCTGTTTGTGTAAAGTTACACAAAACTAGTCTGCAGAAGGCTCAAGTCTTGTTCTGTTGTTTTGTTCTTAAATGACCTTTGACCCATCAGTTGATTTTAATGCAGAGAACCACAAATTAATTTTCTTTAGATTGCTTTTTTTGACCAGCGGTTTGCCACTCTGTCTTACTGCCCTTGTCCTTGCCGTCAGGATATTGGCATGACGAGCCTGGCAAACCTGCACATGGAGTGTCTGCGAATGTTGGACTCGGAGGCTCACCTCAAGTGCATCTTTGGCTGCCTCATGAGCCTGCCTGCCTCGGACTACATTGAATCTTTGGCCTCTCTCTCGCACTGTCTGCTGGCTCATCAAAAAATGGCTCTCCATAAAGTGAGGTGAGTTGTTGATATTAAAAGTTTAACAACAAATGGTATTTTACTTGTCTCTGAATTCATTTCATATTGAAAGAGAGTTGGCCTTTATTTTGATGTTTCAACATATATTCATATAATACATAAAACTAAGCAATGGCTACAGTGTCATTGGATAATCAAATATATTGCTTGTGACTTTGAAAATGGAATATGAAGTCTTGTGAGAACTTGGACATTATGCAACTCCTCTTGCAGAGAAAAACTTTAATTTAGAAAATATAGACATTCTCAGCCCAATGTTTAGCAGCTTTTTCAAAAACGGTTTTCGTTTTTGCTGTTCAAAGTATAGTGAGCGTCTTCCAATGATAATTTATTTTCAGATTGTTGTATGTCCTGGCATTCAACTCTCACTTCATGAGAGGTCTGTGGGATGCATGCATGAGGGTCTCTATCCCCACTGTCACAAGGTCAGTGTGTTTTGTTTTCTCCCACTGTATAATATTTACAGATATGTGGTTTCCAGGGTGTCCAGCAAAGTCGTAAAGTCGTAAAAAAGTCGTAAATTCGGCGCCCTGGTCTTAAAGGTCGTAAACGGTCGTAAATTTGCCGTGGTGGTAGTAAACTGCCGGTGGTCCGGTCGTAAATACGGCCGGCAGTCCGGTCGTAAATTCCGGTAAGACTTTTCAGTGAACGGAATCACTCTCCAGTGAACGGAGTCATTGCCGCGGGACTCGGCGATAACCAAGTCCATCTTTGTAGTCCGCGCATGTGTCTGCGCATTGTTTCAGATGGCGCTGCAGTCTTTATTTTGAAGCTCTCTTTCGTTTTTCCAGAAGAAAAATAGGAATAGCACATTAGCACAGCCTTTTAGTTTCACTTTTTAATCTAGTGGCGAGCGAGCACGCGATTGCCTGCCTATCCTCCATTGTGAAGACTGGACTTCGTTATTTTCGTTTCAACCGGCCAGGACAACTTTGATCTAGTTCAAGTTTAGGACTGAATCAAAAGGATTCCTTATTTTTGTTTATACGGTGTTGCAGTCAATTTCACTAATGGGAAAGTGCTATTTCAACCGCGAGTGGCTGAAAGATGATCGTTTTGCCGAGTGGCTGGGCCAAGTTCCAAACAACCCTGGTCTGTTTTTCTACAGAGTTTGCAAACAGCAGGGTTCGATAGGCACAAATGGCGTTAAAGCCTTATTGTCACATTCAAAAGCAGCGAAGCATAGATCCTCCTTGCAAGCAGCCAATGAATCCCATGTCATGTTCAGTTTTGTGAAAAGCAAGGATGTGTTCACGAACAGTAAGTCACAGACTCAAGCTCAATCAACTGATGACACAACTCAACAACCTTCCCAGCCCCAAAAATCCACAACTAAAACCTCCACAACTGAGACCGTTGCAAAATCTGGCACCTTAGATGCACACATATGTGATGAAAAAACTCTGATGGCAGAAGTGAGATGGGTCCTTCATCTTGTTGGCTCTCATTCCAGCGCGAGGAGTTCGGATGATGTGTCAGAACTTTTTCCTGTCATGTTCAGTGACTCAAGGATTGCACAGCAGTTTCAATGTGGGCGAACAAAAGCAGGGTACCTAGCTGCGTTTGGACTCGCACCAGTTCTTCTCGAGGAAATTGAAAAACAGATCAGAGGTGTTCACTGTTACACCATTCTGTTTGACGAAAGCTTTAATTCTGAACTTCAGAAAAAACAAATGGATGTTCATGTGAGGTTTGTTTTGGACCATGTGGTGCAATCAAAATACTACACATCTTTTTTCATGGGCCACGCCAAAGCAGTGGACATTGAAAAGAACATTAAGGATGCAGTTGGGAAACTTGGAAATGAGAGATTGCTTCAAATTTCCATGGATGGACCCAACGTGAATTTAAAAGTATTCAAAGATCTTTCTGTTGAACTAGAGAAAACTAAGAAGTGTCAGTTGGTGAACATAGGAACATGCGGTCTCCACGTCCTCCACAATGCATGTAAGGATGGGATGAAAGCGTCGGGCTGGGAACTGGACTCCCTGCTCAGGTCCGTGTATTACCTGTTTCAGGAGTCCCCTGCACGACGGGAAGACTTTTTCAAAATAACTGGCTCGGCAACCTTGCCACTTCCATTTTGTGGCCACAGGTGGCTTGAAAATAAAGGGACAGTTGAACGTTTGTTGTCTGTCCTCCCACAGATAAAGAAGTACATAAACGCCTGTAAAGATGGTCAAGCATCAGAGCCCCTATGCAAGTCATACAAGACCATCTGTTCATTCACAACAATTAAGTCCAAAAGCGTGTCTGACAGGGATGTATTAACAGTTAGACTAGATTTCAAGAAAATGTGCACTCATGTGATTGCCAAGATAGTTGACAAAAGTCCAATCGCCTACAAGTTTGCTTGTGACTTGACCTGTCTCAACCCGAGAAATTTTACATGCACAGGCGCTTCAGAGAGATTTGCTGATGTTGCAAAATATCTGCATGTAAAAAGGTGGCTCTCAGCTGAGGAAGTGGACGATGCCATCTTCCAGTTTCAGGAATTGAGAAAGTTGTATGAAGATGATGGTGAAGTAGTCAGACTCGATGAAGTTTTCAAAAGGATTGACTTGACAAGCATGCCTGCTCTGAGAAAAGTAATTAACATCATTCTTACCCTGAGCCATGGAAATGCGGAAGTTGAAAGAGGATTTTCTGTCAACAAAGAGGTCTCGGTAGAGAACATGGCAGAGAAAACAATCATAGCAAGACGAGTCGTCTGCCAATTCATCAAGAGTCATGGTTCTCCTGCAACTGTGCCACTGAATAAAGCTCTGTTGACTTCCTGCAGTGGGGCATATAAGACATACAAAGCAGCCCTGGATGAGCAAAGAGAAATGAAAAAAATGGGAGAAAAGACCAACGGAAAGAAGAGAAAAGCAGAAGACTTGAAGAAAATGAACTGTAAGAGGAAGAAATTGGAACTGAACATTGACATGTTGGTCAGAAAAGCAGATGAAATGGCAGAAGAAGCAGAAACATGTCGTGCAACCAAGGCTCATGAGCTCATTGTTCAAAGCAATGCAATTCGTAAGGAGTCAAAGGCTAAGAAAATGGAGCTCTCTGAACTCAACACTTCCATCAAAGCCTTGGAGTGTGAGCTTGAACTATAAAGGTGCAAGTCGAGTAGAATCAGTTTTGTATATAGTGTATATATTAGCTGTTGTTACTACGTGGATCCTATATTGTTTATCAGGGTATTGATTATTCAAGCAAATTTCTGTGAGTTAAGATTATAAACACATTGAAGCCATCTCACCCATAGGACTATTATTCACTGTTGAGCCCACCCATGTATAGAAAGAAATGACTATAATGAATACTAATACTTGAGAATCCCTTGGAGATACTGAGAGGTTTCCTGAGGAAGACAAATTACATTGGAAGTGGAATGGTGAAGGCACCCAAATTCATGGACCTTGAACTGGATAAGCTACTGTTGGATCATGCCATTACTAGTACAAATTCTAAGACCCTGTATTGGATTATCAGCCCACTCCACAAGAAAACCAAACTCTGGCGCCTATTGGATTATTACAGTTGAGTGTAAAGACAAGAAAACCAAACTCTGGAGCCTATACTGGATTATTTACAGTTGAGCCTTCCCTTGTCAAGAACTAAAAGTCACCTGGATTGAAGTTACGACAGAATTTGAGGTGAGAAATCTTTTGTTTACTGTCTTGTAACGGTCTGTAATTAAAAAAATACTATATGTTATTGATGGCGCAAATGAAGCTTTCGAGCCGGTGTGGGACTTGATTTGCTGGGTAGTAAATTTCTTTTCCAGGTAGTAAATTTTTTCAGGCAAAACTGCTGGACACCCTGGGTTTCAGTACTATGAATCATATCTGGAATGAGTGAACGGGTTGTTGTTCCTGTGGTGTAGATTTCTCCTTTTTTATATATGTATATATTTTACTATTATTGAAGTCTATTTTCAAGCTTAATGTGGCGGTGTAGGTTTTAGTAAAAAGAAGCGCATCAGCAACATGATTGTTGTCATTAACTGGGGGAAAAGTTTAAAAGACAGAAACAGCAGAAGGAAAGAAAAAAGTAAGACTTACAGTGGCACCCCCTGACCGCCTGGGATTTGATTGTTGCTGTGCTGATTTTTTAGTAACCTATTGTGCTACTCAAATGGAATGAGTATCCCTTTCCATGTTACAGTGCTTATAAGTATTTGAAATTCTCATTCTGTCAAGGTTCAGAATTGTGCGAGAATAAAAATCTTTTTATGTAGGTTATGGAGTAACATTCTTGAGGAGTGACTATATCCAGGGTTTGGAGGTTGGGAGTGTTTTGGAAAAAACTAAAATTCATTCTGATTCATTGATATGTGTTGATTGAATCTTTTGGCTTTTCCCCCCCTTATAATGATGTCTGTAGCTCCTGTTCCAAATGCTTACTTTAAAGTTACAATATTGTTTACAGGTCAAGCACATCATTGCTGAACATGCTGTCCAAGGGAGTGCCCATGTCACAGGAGAACATCCAGCGGATTGTGCCGCTGCTCTCCACATTCTGCTGTCTCTTCAACCACTCTCTTCTCACCATTCATGACGCAGACTTCTACGGTGAAACAGAAAGTGAGTTAATGATAGTGTACGAATGATGCTTCTCTGAAGAGTTTCAAAACTACTGTCATTGTTCTCATTCCTAAGATGTCATTTTGTGTTTAACAGTACATGCCCCGACATATGGATATAATATCAATTTGCCTTTTCTCCTACAATTTTTAGAGATTTTGGATATCTTCAAAGCGCTATGTTAAGGCCCAACTAGGAATTTGGTCAGAATAACCGAGACTTTCCTTTTATTATGGCCTACCACCATGCCATAAAACAATGTTTATATACCTAAAATTTCAAGTTTTGTCAAAGAAAGTGTGATGTGAGCCAGAAAAAGACATGAGGTTTTCTTTTGCTCAAATCTGTGAAAATGACTTGGGGGGCATTATCAGAATGTACTACATCCAATGATAATTTCTAATGGACATGGAAAAGACTTACTGTCTATTTTTTGAGAATGAGTGGGATATGTCCTTTTTTCAAGATTGATCCGATCTGGTTATAAGATCATTGCATAAGCTTCACATTGTGTCGATGGGTCCGCACCATTTGTTGTAAAATTTTATTATTTTGTTACAGATATAGTAGAACTGCATGTTTGCCGACAATCGTCTGAAATCCGACAATCGCGACCCGACCCGCGAACCGGCCGATGCTATCGCTAGGCCCGCCTGTATCAGTCAATGTGCGTAGTGCGAGGCCTGGCCGACTGCCGGCGACCCCTTTTTCTCTCGTCGGCACTTTCGTTTTCGTGCCGACCGCCGACGCGTGCACCGCCGACTTCCGACGTCGGCGTTTCCGACATAATTGTCGGAACCTAGATTTAAGTAGAAATGCGAATACGAAAAAGGAGGACAACTTAAATTATCTACTTTCAGTTTCGTGCTCGAGCGGCCATTTTGAATTTCGTTTGTTGACTAATTCAATTGTTCAGATCGTGTGGATTCATTCAAGTCCGACTCTCTTGTTCTAATAGAATCTAGATCTAGATTTATATAGATCATTATAGACCTCAATGGAGGATTCATATTCCAATTCTATTGTGTCAAACCCTATCATAGGTTGTGCTGTAATATTAATATTGGTAAAAATAAGCATTTCATCAGGTGCGTGAATTATTTATTTATTTAGATCTATCTAGATCTAGATCTAGAATCTAGACTCAGCTGAGTCCCTCTGTTCGGAATCGGATGCAGATTTCTAGTTCAAGGCCTATTCCTATTCACTTGTTCTACAAGATCTAGATCTAGATCTAGATTTATTTAGATTACTAGATCTATATGGAGGATTCATATTCCAATTTTATTGTGTTATTGTATCAAACCCTATAGCAATGTAGATGTAAGCCATATAGATCTAGAATCTAGATCTAGATCTAGATTCTATATGCTCCTTGTTTGTTTTGGAGTGTGGTTTTTTAATTTAAAATATTTTTTTTTCATTTAGGACTTGTTTTGGCCTTTTTACATAAGGCCCGTTGCAGGTTCTTTTTGGGGGTCGGGTTAGGGTTAGGTCTCTTCTTTATTGTGTTTGTTGGGGTGGTCGCTCGTTACTCGGATGTCCTTCCTTATGACACCCACAAAGTCTTTTTTGGGGGGGGGGTTGCTCAAAATTTTCAGACATTATGGTTGAGGCTCACATGCAGGTCTAATATAGATATTTCTTAATTTTATGTGAAATTTAGTTAAACAACTTATTTTCATGACTTTTGAAAGCTTTTTGTTGTGTGCATTTTAGATGTCCCTTTGCTTTTCAGCATCTTTGTCTAGCATGCCGTTCACTTTGGATGAAGTCGTCCCAATGTGTCGTGCTCTAAGAGATTGTTGCTTGGGCATAATCGAGTTGGCACATCCAGATTCCAGAGTTGCCATGAGCGATGATTACATCCAGGTCAGTCACATTTAAGTTTGGGAAACTTTAAATTCTTTATGATTTGTTAATTTTTTCACATCTTTATTCTTATAGTTGTTTGAAGCCATTCTGTGGGGGTTTTTTCATGGCAGAGTCTGTGGTTATAAGGCCCTAATAGAAATTTCCAGGCATACTAAATGATAACAATAAAGTACCAAAATCGTTTAATTGATGCTAATAAGGTCGATTTTATTATTTTAAAAAAATAGTTTTTGAAGCAGGTAAAAAGTATCCTTTTGTCCAAGACTAAACAATTTTTATCATTAGGTGGTTTCCTTTTTTGTAAACTTGAGAATAGTAATGGAATATGAGTAGACTGGTTTCTAATTTGATGTAAGCCTTAGTACTTTATGAAGATTGTTTTTATTTTTTTCATAATTGCTTTCTTGATGCAGGCCCTTCAGAAGACTGGAGTTCTGAACAAGAGCAACAAGGATGAGGAAGTTGTAGAGCAGACTCGTCTTTGGGCGTACCTTTTCAAGGTTTGTGGCTTCTTTACACAATAACATGATGTTGTCTATTGATTTTCCTTGTTGCCTGTGAAAGTGTGCTGTAATGAGACGAATGAATACAAATTATCCGGTCTTGTCACTTGTAGCTATAACAGTAATCAAAAGCTGAACGTTGCTGGTTGGTGGGTGCTCTGGTGTGGTTTGCTTCTTTTTTCCTATCAAACATCTGTCGTCCTTATCTCCCCTTCTTCTTTTTTTATGTTTGTTACTCTCTTGTAACACCTCTTATCTTCTGGTGCTCATATGACCTAATGCAGTTGTGAGCACCGTAAAACCTCTACTAAAACTAGTACTAAAAGCTGAATAATTGTTTTCATTTCATGGATCCTTTAACATGTAGGCCTATAATGCACTTCACAACTTTTCCTATACAAATTGTATTTTCGACGTTGGGTATGACCTCAGATAGCACTAACCATGTTTTTGAATAGGACATGATTTACTGTGCTACCTCAGCATATGTGTTCATGTGTTCCTAGAAGGATTGTTTTTTGTGTGAAACCATCATAGTGCAGTTCGTGTAAGCATAGTACAGTTGAAATTGCCTAAGGCAGCCTCCTGTTGTTGAGGAGAAAAGTGGTCATTGAAGACAGGTGTATTCCCTGCACCATGTCATTATAATATTTTTTTTTAAACGCAAGTGGGGAGTGGTTGTTTGTACAGGTGATTGTCTTGGACAGGTGGCCGCTAGAGCAGGTCTGACTGTATGAGTTAATTTTTTGTCCTCCAACAACTGTTTTTGTTTTTTCTGTTTGACCCGTCTCAGTTTTTGTAATTCCTGTTGCTATTGTATTCTATTATAATATATCTTTAATGCCACTTATTCCTTTGTTCACACTGCCCAGGTGATATCGACTTTGGTTAGACAGCTGCACAGCCGAGACAGTCGTCGTCCTTTTTGTCCCTACGGCCACTGGCTCGCCCCCAACGTCAACATTCGCACAGATAGGGTAAGCTTGTTCAGCCTTAACATATTGATGGTGTTTTGGTTTAACACTAACTGGAAGAATAATGTGATATTTTTTGGGGGGGATTATTATTATTTGCTGAGGTTGATCTGCTGGTTTTCCATTACAACCCCCCCCCACCCCACCCCCACCCCCACAGGAGTTTGCGGGCAATTATGAAAAGTATAAGAATTCTGTAGGCTCTAACTTAAATGTCTTCTCTGATCATTAAAATAAAAAGGTGATTTTTTTAAGGGTTTTTTTTTTTTCGCCATTTGGAAAATTTTAAAGGAACATTTACATAGAGCATAACACTATTACCATGTTGCCTATTGTTACTTTGATAGAATTCTATTTATAAGAGTCTTGAAATGAATGTGTGTTTTCTTTTCATTGCTTCATTTAAGTCTATTTGTAGTATATCAGATACACTCCCATTGCCTATGTAGTATTGAAAGATTACTGTATGATCTATTATCTCATTTTTTGTCTTCTCTGTTACAGCCATCCCAGATCTACTCTGCTCAGAATGCCATTTTTGTTCGGAGAGACTTTGGTACCCTAAGTTCTCTCACCAAAGCAAATACAGGTTAGAGCATATCCTACTCTTTGTATATATGACCAAGGATTTTATTAAGAGCACTTTCTGCTATTAGATTATTGCCAAAACTAATCCAATAGGACGAATAAGTTTCTGTTCATGCCCAAAATGTAATCAAGAGCACATTCTACTCTTTGTTGATGAACAAAACAGCTAAAAAGCCGTCTTCTCTTTTTCATGATGTAAGCATAATGTCAGGACACTCCTCTCTTTTTAATGTTTCCAAAGAAGCTTTTCCAAAAAGGTATTGTTGGCTGTTTATTGTTACAGCATAATCAAGTGAGCATTCAATTTTTTTTTAGAAACGGTTGCATAATGAAAATGTATCTAATTTCTAAATATATTCCATTTCAGACAAAGTCTAAAGAGCTTCTGGCACTGTTTTGATGTTTAATTTCATTATTGTCTTTCTTTTTTTTTTGAAAGCCTAGAACAAAGTGGTGATCATTTTGAATTTTCCATCTTTTCATCTATGGCCTTGGTCTCTGATTCCGATCTCTTTTCTCTCGCAGACACTGATGCTCCGCCCCTTGCCAACAGAGATGTAAGGAACCTAGTGATATTGACAGAGCTCCCCTTTGTTGTTCCCTTCCTGGAGAGAGTCAAGGTCAGTCATTCTTGCTAATGAAATACGCCTAGAAAAATAAAAGTCTTTTAACAAAGGATTTATATACACCAGAAAAATAAAAAGACAAAGCAAAGAACCTATATACACCTTGAAAAATAAGACAGTCTTTTTAAAGCAAAAAACTTACATAAATTAATGCCTTAGAGAATTGAAGCGTCTTCAAAACTTGCTGTAAAAATATTTAACGGGGCTCGCGGGTCTGGTCTAGGGCCTCAGAGACTGATTTTCACTCACTCTGAGCGCTTTTTACTTTTGTTTGTTTACGATCCCTCATTCAGTCTAGATTATATTGACACTAGTCACTAAGTGATTAACATAAACAGAATTCATATTTTATTGGGTTCTACGTTGTGTACTTACATGTTCGACGTTTATCCTTGTTTTTCTCAAAACACACTTTTTCACCACTTTTTGCTTGCGTATGCTGGTTGTTTTTCTCCTCCATTTTTAAATTTTACAACACAGAGACTTGAAATTTGGCTTTATAGTTAGAGGTATGGTTTGTACTTGTAGTGGGCTGGTTAGTTTTTTACATTTTGCTTTAGAATTATTTTTACAATTTTTTTTCCACCCCAAAAATATTTTAAAAAAAATCAAATTCCATATCCCCAACTTTGAGCTCAATTTTGGATACTTTCTAAGTATAGTATCAAAAATCAAAAATACCCAGCTGCAGGCACCTAATTATTTGTGACATTTTGCAAGTTACAGAATTTGAAAAAGTTAAAAACTGTAGGAATGGTGGAGAAAAAATAATTTCTATCCAAATTTCAAGATGGTCCCCGTTTCTATGGCTACGACTTACATAATCAAGTGTGTCAGCGGTTGAACATGAATCTTTTGTCTAAAGTTGTTTCAGTGTGTATTTAGTTTAAGATGTTGTCCCATAAGTATCAAGCCCCCGTAAAAAGAAAAGGGAATGGAATGGAACAAACAAAAAATTTAGCTACCATTATTGGATTGTTCATTTCACTGAAGTTACTGCCATCTTTCTGAAGTTTAATAATGTCTTTCCTGGAATTCTGGTCCTGTGAATTTTTAAAAGTTGCGCATGAGCATTGACAGTAGGTGGGTGGTTGGCGGGTGCTCTGGTGTGGTTTGCTCCTTCTTTTCTGTCAAACATCTATGGTCCTGATCTCTCCTTCTTTTTTTATGTTTGTTACTCTCTTGTAACACCTCTAATCTCCTGCATTTATATGACCTTATTGTGTTGCAAGTGCCGTAAAACTCTTACATTGACAGTTGCTGATCATAGCATGAATGTTTCGATTTCTTGCGCTTTCAGATCCTTCAGAACTTGATTGTTGTGGACAAGCAGGACAACCAAGGGGAGCTCACCAATTTCGGCATAGGCCCTTCTATTGTGATCAGCATCAGGAGAAACTTCATCTATGAGGATGCTTTTGAGAAATTATCTCCTGAGAATGGTGAGTAGTGAGTTGTTGCTAACACCTGTTGTTTTGTTTATGTGTATGTGTAGTTCAGTTTGAGTTTTTTGCCTAAAGCATGTTTTGTGTGTTTGTTAAGTAGTGGAAAGAACATTCCGGTTATTATGTCTTTCCATTTGTTTTATCAGGTAATAATGCTGTGCATGTATGTGACATTGAAAGGAAACATTTGGAGGGGGGGGGGTGTAATGCTCTAGAGAGTTTGGTATGTTAATTTTTTTTTATTTTAAGGGTTTTTTTTTCTCCTTTAGGTGTTTTTGAGAGAGTGTGTGTGTGTGTATGCTTATTCAGGGAAATACAAAATAGAAATTACATTCCTTTTACAGCACATGATTGCAGTTTTATGTTCTTACTTAGAAATTGTTAATCTATTTTATTTTTTTTTCGTTCTTTCCAATTCATGTTCTTATATATGAAACTACTTGCCCTCAAAGTGGCTTTGGCTTCTTTTCTCGGTGCACAAATGATTTCATAGTTTTTTTTTCATCAGAGCCTAATCTAAAAAAGAAGATGCGCGTCAGCTTACTCAACGCAGCAGGACTGGATGAGGCTGGCATTGATGGTGGTGGAATTTTCAGAGAATTTCTGTCTGAACTGTTGAAGACCGGATTTGACCCGAACAGGGGCTTCTTCAAGTACACGGCTGACCGCCTGCTGTACCCTAACCCAGACTCTGGGAAATTGGTGGAAAATTTTTCTTCTCATTTCTACTTTTTGGGCAGAATGCTGGGCAAGGTATCATTCATTAATTGTTGTTTTTTAAATTGTAATTATGTCTTTTTTTTTCCTCTCTCCCCATCTACAAGTATAAGTTTTCGTCCTTTTGTATGCATAATCGATCCTGTCTGATCTCATGCCTCTTTGCAGTACCATTTTGGCTTGTTGTCTTTCCATTGTTTGGAGGAAGAATAGGCTATGTTGAAATAATAGAATCCTTTGCTTCCTTCAAGTATTACCGGTACCCTGATGTTCCATGGTTGTAATGATGGGGGGGGGGGGGGAATGAAAAAGACAGACTGACTGACTGACATACAGGGGGAAGTCTATGTGCTGCCTCAGTTTTTTTAGCGCCACTACTCTGTCCTTTCTAAAAAGGGGCGGGTTTGGTCATTCTAAAGAGAATTCACTGTTTATTTCTTCTTTAAATTGAGCTGTGATACACTTTATAACTTCACATGGGACACTTTCTCGCTTATTAGTGGATCAAATGTTATCAAACAAGCATAGTAAGGACTCTTAAGATCCTCAATCAAATTTGAGAAAAAAATTTAGTTTCCATGGATAAGGCAGTCATATTGGATTTTGTTGACATGTCTTACGTAATTAATACCTCACTTATTTTTCATGGAAATAATAATTTTTTTTCATGCATCTTGGCAAACAATAGATCTGCAAATCTGAGGGATGAAATTTCCCTAAACATACTAGAAAATTTTTCATGAATTTTTTCCTGTGGTAGTATTCATGTTTGCAAAAAAATTGTGAAAATCCACACTCTAAACGCCACCAACAAAAAAGTATTCAATAAATCAAAAATTCATCACTGAAATATTTAGCATTACATCTTTTCTTCATTCTGTGAAGATTTCATGAAGATCGGACAAAAAATGGTGAAGCTATTTTAAAAAATGAAAAGTATAAAGAAAAACCATGTTTCGAGAAAACGGGCAATAAAGAAAAATAAAAGATTGACTTTATGAAGAAATTGCGATGGAATAATTGTAAGAGAGGCAGAAGAAGCTAAAAAATGCCTATGACTTATAATCCATAGTTTTGAGCCAAATCGGGACTTTCGGGTTGTAGCCCCCCCAACCCCCTCCTTTCAACACTGCAGTAAGTATGCAATACAGTAAACAAAAACATTTGTTGAAATTCAGTTATGACTGCATGATCAAATCAGGTGAACTTTGACACTGTCATTCCCTCACATGGATCTGTTAAGCTGACTCTCAATCTTCAGATCAGCAGTTTAGTTTCATAATAACCAATATTTTACTTTGTTCTGCTGAGTCCAGAGTACAAGTTACCTGAATTTACAGCATGATACGTTTGTATTTACCTGAATTCTCAGCATGTGCTTGTTGTTTTTTCCCTCCAGGCTTTGATGGAGAACCTACTGGTAGAGATTCCGTTTGCTTCCTTCTTCCTCTCTAAGATCCTGAGTCCATCCAACATCAGCTTGGACATCCACCACCTGCAGTCCATGGACCCACTGATGTACAAGTATGTTTGTTCATTTGTTTGTGACAGTTTTTGCTGGACATCGGAAGTATTTTTTATCTCGTTTTCTATGAACTCGTTTGTCATGGTTCTTAGATTTTTCCTCCTGCACATGATGGGTAGTGTGGGTGGGGGCGCTCCTGTGGTAGACCCTACCACATTACACCCCCCCCTTCCGCCAATGTTTGTCTTTTTTTTTTCTTGTTGCATTTCCCCAGCTTGAAATTACTGCTTTTGTGTCAATGAGCTTCTCTATTCTCAAACGTTTTATGTTTTCTTGGTATCTGATGCCTTTGTGCTTATATTTTTCCTCCTGTGCATGTGGGTTTTTTTAATTGTTAGTGTTATATTGTCGTAAGCACATACAGTGCTGTAAGTCTCGGTAGCCGCCGCCCCCCCTCCCCCCCCCCAGGGCAGTGCTACTAACTGAAATGTCTTTAGGCCATTCCCAAAGGGGGGATATTTATATTAACATGTTCTAATACACAGTTGAATTGTAAATGGGCTGATTTATCAATGTCATATTCCCGCTTACAAATACCCCCAACATACCTGCCACTATACTGTCTTCCCACTTAGCTCCTCTCTACACTTGTCTTGGCCCGATAGAATAGGCTAACACTAACGATGTCACCTTAGCAGAGACTGAGCCCACCATTTCGGAACTTCATGGTGACCGTAAAGATGGTTCCAGTAGGGAACGGGATAGAGGGTGCCCACGTCCCTCGTGACTCATTGGAGCAGAGGAAGATAGGACTAACGCTAACAGTACTTAAACGAAATCCCTCATCATCACTCATCACCACTATTAATGTTAAAATCATCACCTCTCTCAGATCAATGACTTACATCTATAATCCTGGAATCTCTATCCGCTATTACAGTTAATTGATATACTAAGTATGCATGTAATACACTATTGGACACAATCATATGCACTTTTTTCTACTAATCAGATGGCGTCAATCTCATATAAATGGGCAAGGGAAAAAAAAAAAAAGAAAAAAAATCAATGTCATACTCGTATTGTGCTCGAACAACATATGGGGAGCTGCTGCTTTTTCTTTCCTCATCCTTACTATCGTCATTTTCCTTCTACTTCTTTTGCATGTTTGTCACTCTCTTGTGAACTGCTATTTTTGGGGTGCCTTGATAGTCGAAACAGACTTTGTGCTGTTGAGGCTAGAGAGGTGAGCAAAGTAATCCTGATTCCCCGTTTTTACTTCTATTAACATCCACCCCTTGGCGCTCATATTACCTTATGCAGTTGCGAGCACCGTAAAACCTTACTAAACTATACTAAACTGGTTCGATCTTGAAGAAATGTGACAGTTACTGTATTGGTTGGTGTCGGTTTGTAACTCTTAATTCTAACCATGAGTGTGTTCCTTTGTTTCAGAAACCTTTTGTACTTGAAACACTATGAAGGGGACGTTGCTGATTTGGGCCTGGACTTCACTGTGGTGAACAGCGAGTTTGGAGAGACGAAGGTGAGAGATAAAGAGAACATGGCATCTGTTTGTACAGTTGAACCTGCTCTAATGGTCTCCTGTATAAGACAACCAGCTGTACTAACGGCCACTTCTCATTCCCACCTTTGCAGTGGTTTTTTTAACATTATAATGACACTGTGTAAGAGAGCCTTCTGTCTTTTAGGGGCCACTTTTTTTTACAAGGAATGGCCGTCCTAAACACTTTTGACTGTATTTTTTGCTTTGTCATGAATAATTGAAACTGTACTGTATTCAGATTATGTCATTATTGTTATAATTATTATTATTATCATTTGTTTGCCCTGTTGAATGCACAAAAATTTGACTGTGTCGTTCGTGAATTCAAAGTAAAAATTCATTAGGTGGCTGGCACAATATTGAAAAATAAATCGATTAAAAAGTTAAATGACCTGTGCATTATGATTTGGTTTTTTAGGTAGGCTGTCTTAATGCAAGATAGGAAAATTATGACTTTGAGGATGAAAATGTAAGAGTAGTAAAAAGAAAATAATATGTGTACATAAAAAGTTTAATGACTTGAATATATGTGTTTTTGTTTTTTGCTCTACCCTGCAGGTTGACGAATTGAAACCAGGAGGGCGTAACATTCCGGTGACTGACGCCAACAAGATTGAGTATGTGCATCTCATGGCAGATTACCGAATCAACAAACAGGTACTGAACTGCTGTGTGTCACACATTGTGCATAATTGCCGCATTACTGGGTGTGTAGCGAAACAAGAGCTCATTTATTTCATATAATTTCATGCAAGGTCTCTGTCTTTTAGATTTAAAAAAAACAACCCAAAGAGGTGTAGTGTTTGTTAAGAAAAATTCTTTGAAATTTTTATCTGCTTTCTTACAGGGTTTTTGTTCTATTTATTAGAAAAAAGGAACAACTGATACTGGTTGGATGAAGGACTGTAAACCATCCCTTTTTCAGGATATTAGGAGTTATTAGTGTGGGTGGTTGGCAGATGCTCTAACTAAGGATCTCTTGTGCTAAGATTTGGCCGCACTTGGCAACGGTAGCCTAGCGGTTGAGGCAGACAGAGGGAAAAGATACTGGACAAGTTGACAACATGGGTAGGAACAGCAAGAGCAACAGACACCATTGCTGCAACGCAAGACAGGGTGAAGTGGAGGTCCATGATAGCCCACGCCATTCAGCAAGGTACCGGATGATGGTGATGAGCCTAGTGGTTAGTCTACCGGATCTATAATGGTGAGATTGCGGTTTCAGGAGTTCAAGCATCATTTTGGTCTGAGGTGTCCTTTGGAAAAGGCACTTTACATGAATTTCTTATTTGACTCGATTCTTTTAGAGATGGATGTTAAAACCCGGAGGTCCCGCTTCTTAAATAACCTAATAGTGTTGATAGGGGGAGTTCAAACCCATACCATTTCACCATTTTCAGATCCGGCCACACTGCAACGCGTTTCGCCGTGGTCTGAATGACGTGATCCAGCTGGAGTGGCTGCAGATGTTCAACAGCGGTGAGCTGCAGGTGCTCATCTCAGGGGCTGCCGTGCCCATAGATCTGGAGGACCTGAGGCAAAACACCAAGTACTCGGGTAGGTCCACTTCTTTTCCTTCTTTCTTTATTCTTTCTTTCCTTGTGCTCGTCTCGGGGGCTGCCGTGCCCATAGATCTGGAGGACCTGAGGCAAAACACCAAGTACTCGGGTAGGTCCACTTCTTTTCCTTCTTTCTTTCTTTTTTCTTTCTTTCTTCTTTCTTTCTTTCCTTGTGCTCGTCTCGGGGGCTGCCGTGCCCATAGATCTGGAGGACCTGAGGCAAAACACCAAGTACTCGGGTAGGTCCACTTCTTTTCCTTCTTTCTTTATTCTTTCTTTCCTTGTGCTCGTCTCGGGGGCTGCCGTGCCCATAGATCTGGAGGATGTGAGGCAAAACACCTTGTACTCGCATAGGTCCACTTTTCTGTTCTTTTCTTTTTTCTTTGAAATATTTTTTTTTACAAAATCAAATCACTGAGACTCGAGAATGCCTTTGAAATTTGAAGAAGTCTGTAAATAAAAATTGCTCTGAGAAAGTCCCGGGAAAATGTACAAAATCCTTGAAACCAAGTCTGATTAGGCTCTTGATTTTATTTGGTTCTGGTCATGTTTGTGATGTTCGTTCGGCATTCCCCAGTCCGAGAGTACGTTTTAGATGAATTACTGTAAGTACGTTTTAGATGAATTACTGTAAGTACGTTTTAGATGAATTACTGTAAGTACGTTTTAGATGAATTACTGTAAGCATGTGTTTGTCCTTGGTATTGTCAATGATTTTGTCTCCTTGCTGGGACAGGACTGTCAATGTATCTGCTGTTAGTTTACATCTATACTGGTCGCCTGACAGTTGACACTTTGATGAACACTAAACATTCATTAGATCCGAATAGACCACCTTCTTTCTGACCCTTACAGATCTTTTATTTTGCAATGTGTCTGTGCCCAGGTGAGTTCACCGACACCCATCCTGTGATTGAGACGTTTTGGGCCGTGGTCAGTGAGTTCACCGACCAACAGAAGCGACAGCTGCTCAAATTTGTCACCAGCTGCTCCCGCCCTCCTCTCCTTGGTTTCAGGGTATGTATGGTCCATGTGTTATTTTATTTATTTATTCAATCATTCCTTCATTTATTGTTGTTTAATTAAGGGGGAGGGAGGGATGCGTGCAAGAATCTGCTAAAGAAAACTGCTTCTTGATGGGCACAAGGGGGTGTTCTAGATGAAAAAGAAATGTGAAAATTGGTGAGAAATTTCCCTGAATACTGAATTGAAAGATACAATACGAGCATAGTCGGCTAACATTTTACAAATCATGTTGTAATTATATTTGGGAGCTATCTGGAAAAATGCCATTTTGAGAAAATCGAAGGTACGGTAAACATACCTGCCACTCATCCCGATTTAGTCGGGATATCCTGATTTTTTTCCCCAAATCTCAAGCATCCTGGTTTTCCGGATTTCGATCTCGTGTATCCCGATTTTTTGTCCCAGTCTGCTGTTGTGCCAGATCTTTCTAAAAACATTCTTTGCCTTTTTCTTTATCGCGGGAAGCACCCGTTGAACTTTTTGTCAGTATGAACTTGAAGCATTATTTTCCGAAATCTCGATGCCGGGTTTAGTAGTTGACTCGCCCCAAGTTGTGTGTGATCTTTGCCCGCACTCAGAATTCTCAGATGATAGCCTGATGACTGTTACAATTTGGGACATACAAATAATCAATAATATTCGTAGTTCCGCTGTTACTTTCAAAACAAGCCTTGTCCGAGGTCTGGTAACTGCGCGTTCACATCAAACACTCGGACTAGCGACAGTCGTTCTAACCTTTACATAACTAACTGTGCTGACAAGACTAACATACGGCCGTTGTCATTGCTTTGGTCTGAACGCTGTGGGATAAGAGATTTGTTGGTACATTTAGTCTGTCGGCCGCCGTTGGTATCCTAGAAGTAGAACGACCGTCGCTCATCCGGGTGTTTTGTGTGAACGCGCAGTTAGTCGGGCCCGTCATTAAAATTCAATTGCGCGCTCACATCACGGGACATGACTTCGCCGTGTGAGTTCCGCGTGTCGGGGCCTGTCCGTTGACGGGGGTCAACTTAAGTTCATTCACACTGGTTGAAGTGTCTTTCGGGACTTATTGGTTGAGGGGGGGGGGGGGGGTGTTGTTACACATCTGGACTAGGAGTACTTGACGTGATTCTTCAGGATTTACAAAAAATAATGATAACGCACGCATGCGAACACACACACACACACACACAAACACACAGAGGGCATATAGGCCTATTTATTTATGGATACCCCTGAAAAATGTTTAAGTCAGCTTGACGGTCACCTTGGTGATTTGCTGTTGATCCCAATTTTTTTCACCAAATCCCAATTTTTCCCCACTGAGATCCTCATTTTGAGGTTTCATGGAGTGGCAGGTCTGGAGAGTTTTCCCTATAACCCAAACAAATATAGACTCCGATGAAACCAAACTTCTCCTATAGGTAGGGAAATGCCCACTTTTGGAGTAGGTCAAGATTTCTGGAAACCCCCAAAATCTGGGTTAGCCCGCTTGTCCTTAAAAGTGACCATTTATTCCTCCTATTTGTCTTGTTCTACAGGATCTGTTCCCAGCATTCTGCATTCACAGTGCTGGGTCAGAGGTCGACCGCCTGCCCACCGCCAGCACCTGCATGAACCTGCTCAAACTGCCAGCTTTCCGCGACGCCAAAACCATGCGCAGCAAAATGCTCTATGCCCTGGAGTCGGGGGCCGGCTTTGAGCTCAGTTGATTCGCCTTCGACACCACAAATGTTTCTATTATATGGTTTGCACGAATGTTGGATATATATAAACCTGCTTGAAGGATGAATGGAGTCAGTTTTTCGAACTAACCTGCTACTGATATAGATGAATGCTCTGTTTGACTTATGCGAATAACGTGTAGATGTTATTACCGGCTTGTAAGGTGAAAAGGGCTAGCTTTGAGCTTGTATATTAGCCATTGACACTGATGAGAATGAAATTGTTATAATATTTAAATATATATATATATATAAATATAATCTTTATAAAGGATAGATATATGTGAGTGAAAAATGAAGTAAGGGTACTGGTATTTGCATGTAGAGGACCTGCGTGTGTATTCCCTGATCCTGTAGGTGTACTGTCATTTGATTTCTACGTTTTGTTTTTGTGTTCAAATATTTGTTTCCTTGTGTGTTCTTCCAGTGTTGTAAAATTTAATGGCATACTTTAGGCACTTTGTTTTACAAATTTCCATCAACACAACTGTTATGTAAGTACTCACTTGACTAGTGGGGTTTTTTTTCACTTGGGAAATTGTTATGGAAAAAGAAAAAGTTAGGAAGTGATATGGAGGGTTAATGAGGAGAAAAGGAAACCCTGTTATTTACAGGTAAGTTGAATTATTCTGTTAAGATGGTATGGCAAATTGATTATAAGAGCTTGATATTTTTGCATTCCGTGGACTTGCATTTTAAGGGAGAGAAGTAAGGACAAAATGAAAAAGCGGCAACAGTAAAAGTAAAGTAATGATGATAATAATAACAAATAGCATTTGTTTAGTGCACATTCCCATTTTAATGTAGGTAGATAAAAAGACAGAGGGAGAGAGATAGAAATTTGCCTCGGTTTGAAAGACTTATGTAGGTACCAGAAACTAAATTTTCAAACTAGCTGTATGCCAAATTTATCTGTTCCATTTGAAAGGCCTATATCCACGGAGCATTTTTGTACCATTCTTTAACCTCTCCGTCAATTTTTTAGAAAATTATAGTTTTTAAAAATTTGATCAAATTTGTTAAAGTCAGTCACTGGCTGCAACCCCATGTTTGACAGACAATAAAAAAAGTACCAAGTGCACTAAACATCTCCACATTAACAGAGTACAATCACTATAACAAATATATGGAGCCTAATTTTTTTCAAGACTGTGAGATCTTTACAAATCAGTATTTTATCGCCTCAAACACGATGATCTGTCGTTATTTCGACAAAAACACCGAGCGTTGACCCGGCGGCGCGCACCGGCCCCCGCGGCGAGCGAGTCGGCTCTATACTGTAGTGTACCCCGCGTGCGGGGTCACATGCTTTTCGAGTCTCGCGGAAGAATTGATGAAAAAAAATTCCAAGTTAATAACTTTATTCTAATAGAAAATGAACTGATCTTTTAGTTGATACCTGTTATAAGTCGGTATTATACATATTTTGTGTAAAAAGGGATCTTTAAACATTTTGACGGTATTTTTAAAGGCTTTCTATAAAGACGCCAAAGGCTTAACTTATATCACGGGAAAGCCCGTTTAAAGCTCTATAGTTCTCCGCCAATGAAAAGACGGTATTTAATCATCCCTCGTTCCGCGAAGCATTTGAATGCACGCGTGTCAATTTTTCAACCGGCCGACCTCGTATTCCGACCGCGAGGGGCTTCGCTTTCGTCGGCGATTCTCCAGCTCCTAAAAATCGGACATATAAACAACTTACACCATTGTAACGAAGAAAAGCTGAACTTTTACAAGGTGTACGGCATTTGGTGTTTTACAACGAAAGAGCAAAGAAACAGCGATCAGAATTACCATGATTTTACCGATACCATGCAGTCGGAAGGCTGCGAGTGCCCGTGAGGCCGTGTTTACGCTACCTAACTTATGACTACACCGTAGTTATGGCATCATGTATCTGTGTGTGTGTGTGGAATTCACTTTGCACTCATAAAAATGCAGTAAGTTTTTGCTTCTTTCTCAGGTTCGTCACTCTGAAATTTTTTCCCATCTTCTTTGTGGTCAAACATACTTGCCAGTGAAGTGGACTTGTTTGATTCAGGTATCAGAAGTTTTGAAACGATATTGATATATCGTGTAAGCATTGATGCATGTGAGGAGTACTTGGGTGAAATAATAAGCTCTTAGAAGTATGATCTTAGTAAACAGTGTTTTATGTCTCTTATTTTTCATATGAGAGGCATTTTTTTTCTCTTTTACTTCTGTACTGATTTAGTTCTTTTCAGATGTCAATGTTTTAGATGATTTAGGCATAATGTTTAGTTTTGAGTGGCTTTATAACGAAGATTCTTGAGTGAGATAGGCTGTTGAAAGGATGATGCACTTGAAAGGAACTTTGTTTGTACTTTTGATCTATATTCTCTCCTTCTTGTTCTGTGGGTTTTTTCTTCTCCTATGTATTGTTTTATTCCATCTTTTTTGTTGTGAAATTGGAGAAAATCTCATGTCTTGATAATTAATTGAAAATGAGACCTGAGAAAATGTGTTTTTCCTTGGAAGGAAATTTTTTTAGACTCTCTTTTTTTGTTGTTGCTGTTTTAGCCCTAGATTTTACCGATCCACTGCTTTGCTACAAAAATTATTTCATTATTATACGTTTCTGCCGGTGAGCTGTCGAAACCCCCCGCGGACTGAAGTGTCTTTAGGCAATTCCCAAAGGGGGTACATTAATATGTTCTTATGCACAGATGGGCTGATTCATTAATGTCATGCTCGTAACTGTGCCTGGACTGCAACAGGGAACTGCTGCTTTTTCTTTCCTAACCCTTACTATCGTCATTTTCCCTCTACTTCTTTTGCATGTTTGTCACACTCTTGTGACCCGCTATTTTCAGGGTGCCTTGATAGTCAAAGCAGACTTTGTGCTGTTGAAGCTAGAGAGGTGAGCAGAGTAAGCCTGATTCCCTGTAAAGACTTCTTTGGTGACATCCACCCTTTGGCGCTCATATGACCTTATTTCTTAGTGTACGCCGGCCTATTCCACCTTTTTACGCAGGCATTTTTTGTGATTTTTAGGGGGCCGTGGTAAAATAATGATTACTTTCTTATTTTTTTACCCTTGTAACTGTATGACACATCAAAATTTTCAGAAATGAACAAGCAATTCAACCTTGGTAAAGAAAAAGATATGTCAGGCATGAGAGAAGAGATATGTGGCTTGAAGGAGGAGGAAATTGATGAAAAAGAAGAAAAAATCAACATATTTTCGACTTGCATGTATTCACGGCAGATAATTGTCCATTTCCCAGTTCATGTTGAAAGTTTCAGAGGTTTCTGATGCACACAAAAAAGTTTGTGTAACGTTGAAAGAAGTCACTCAAATACAGGTTTTAAAAAAAGCACAAACACCACACCACTGGATAAGAAATCTATAAAAAAAGATTTACTCTATGTACTGTTCACAACCCCAGTTACATTGATGAATGGAATTGCTGAAAACATTTATTTAGGTGCAGAAATGGCTGGCTGTCACACCTGTTGCAAAAGAATGAAGTCCTCACCCTCTTTTCGCACGCGCTACACACTCTGCATTCACGGGTCAGTTGACTTCACAATGACATGTGAACTGTTGCAGACCCTGTTCAAGGGGTTTTCTGGCTGGGCATGACCTCTGTTGTCATTATTCTCTTGTATCTCAGCCAGATGTCGTGTCGCAAGGTTGCACGTATTTTGAATTTCAGCAACGGAAGCTTCTTGGCACCTTGAGATTTGGTGTAAAGTACAAAAGCATTGATCTGTGTGATCTCAAAGATCCACAGAAAATCTTCTTCCACCACTTTCTTGTTCTTCTATTGAAGGTACCATAGGTCTGGACCATCTGACCAATTTTATCACAGCCGTTCATGTTTTTATTGTAATCTTGAATTACAACCGGCTTGACCCCTTTCACCTCTGTTGCACGTACTTATGCCTCGCTAGATACCAAGACACACGGTTTCTTTGCTTTTTTGTCTCGAAATGTTACACACAGGTACTTTGTATCCTGCTTGTACCACCTCGTTTCTCTGAAAGCCAGCCTGTTTGTTTTCAGCTCAGGCGGAAAGTCACGTCGATTTATGTTTACCATCCCGGTATAATAAAATTTCTCGCTTGATAAATATTTCAGCAAGGGATAGCTGGTGTAGTACCTGTCTGCAAACAGGTTGTGTCCAGGTGGCAGAGGTGACAGCAGAGTGTTAAAAACCTTTTCTGCCTGTTGAGCATCTTGATGGCGAGGGTCAACCGAAGTGTTAGCCCCAAAATAAATGAGCAAATTCAGGACGTATCCGCTTTCACTCTCGCATAAACCGAAAGTCTTCACGTGATATTTCTTTGGTTTGGACGCATTGAACATTCTATGTGCCCACCTGCCCTTCCAGCTGATAACCATTTCATTGAGGGAGAGATTCCTCTTTGGGTAATACGCAGCTTGAAACTGTCGTAACAAGCAATTTACAAAGGGTTCAATCTTCGCTTTTCCTTCAGCTCCAACCCTGCAAACATGTAACATCATTTGGTAAATTGCTTGGAATCTGTCGCTCATAAACAGTTTCTTGAACCACGGTGTGCACTGATATGGCTCATTTGACCATTAGCTGTGAATGCTTGGCTTGTGTACTATACACTTCGAAATAACGACGGCGGCAAAAAACTTGTACTGCTCACCAAGTGAGATGTCTGTCCATGTTCGAAAAACAGATCTTACACTCACAGTTTCCCGAAGCTCTGCACATTTATGCTGTGCGTACTCGTTGTCACCAGGTCACGGAGAATTGTTGTTGTACACAGTGCCAAAAAGCAGTAGATAGGAGAAGAATCTTGTGGCACAAGCTCCAAGTCCACTCCTGTTCTCGGGGGCGTAAACCGAAAACTCTTCGCCGTAGCCCCTTCTTTCACTTTTCTTGAGTTGTTCCCTACTTCTGCATCTCCTCTTCCATCTCCAGTACTAGTACTAGGCCTAAGAAGGGGAGATCTTGACCTATCTCTGCTCTCAGTATTCCCAGCACCTGCTCCCTTTCTTTTACCAGGCCCCTTCCCTGGCTTTAACCCGTGAAGGACATGCCCCTGTACTGGAATCACAAGTTGAATTTGACGGACCGAGTTCATCGAGGTCTGATTCTCTTGAAGACTCGTCACTGCCAATGACATAGTTGAATTCGTTCCCATCCGAGTCACTATCGCTACAATCTTGCTCGGATTCATCCTCACACATAGTTTGGAACAAATCTACGGCGGCTTTTGCAGAAAGCCTTTGCTGTCTTCCAGTATTGGCAGCAGCCATAATAAACAAACGAACTGACTTGAGTTGACAAATTCGCACTGAAAAAGTCACACAAATTCACTGGAAAATTCGCTCCATACACCACTAACTGCTTTTGAAAATACTTATGTACTAAAGTGAGCTATAAAAAAGAAGATTCCCGTACAAGATGTAGTTTTTACACAAAGCCCCAGAATATTAGGTGATTTACAGAGCCACATGAAGTGGTGTGCCAGCGTTTTGGCTACGTTAAGTGCGCCACGTGAGGTGGTGAGCCGAACGCTAGGAGTAAGGCCGTTGTGAGCGCCATAAAACCTCTACTAAAACTAAAACTAAAGAGCTGTTGAAAAGTATTCTTCTTTGCTGTGGCCATTGTGCGGTTCTGGGGTAGAACCATTCCAGTGTAAACTGCATTTGTTTGTGTGTGCGCGGTGTATGTGTGAACTCCTGCATTAGGGGCTTCTGGGGCTTTGTTCGTGTTGGCAGAGGAAGTACAATATATATGAATTGGAAGTAGCCTACAATGTATATATATGAATTATCTACTGCACTGAATAAGTTACTGCCTTTATGCTGAGGTTATAACAATATGACATTTATCTGCAATATCTCAATAACTGCAGTGTGCATGGTATTCAAAATATTTCTGTTGCTTGCTTTGGTTCACAACCTTTATCCCCAGTGCTAAATGACGAGTGTGC